AAGGCATTGCAAAAATCAAGCCCTAGTCCTCAAATTCAAGTACTTTCAAGGCCTTGAAGTTTTATTTTTAAATTCAAGCATCTTCAAGGACTTTGAAGGCTTTTATGAACCCTGAATAAATCATGTATTTGCCTTTAACTGCAAGGAGAAGGAAATTTTTTATCTATTATTGGTACCAAGTCATAGTTTGTTGCCAAACATTCACCCAAGGGGAGTTGTCAGAAATCAGTAGATTGAGACAATATTACTGTTCAATAGTTCATATTGTTTTTAATAGAACAATCTCTGAAACCACTGCAACATTATATAGCTAGAGTGAGTGCTCTTGGTAGAGCATCAGTTTTGGGAATTACATATAACAAAACTGTAACAAAATGATGGAGATGTTTCAATATTTAGTATCAATGCTGTGTTCTTTTGCTGTGCATTGATGGGAAACAGCATCAAATAAGTCTAACTGAGGAATTATTCACAAATTATAACATGAGGTTCAATGTTCTTTCTTCAGTTTCTTGGATGATCTGTTCTTGTTATTATTTTGAATAAAATTTTGCAGGTATTAATTTTAACCCCTCTCAACTCAAATATATCGTTGTTATGTATACTCTGAAAATAATGTACTAAGCTATTCAGTGATGATACTTCAAGCAGCACACATGTACCTTGAGGATGGCTTCTATTATAAATATCCCTTGCATGAGAATCTAATATTTTCAAGCCCACATTTCCTTTACAATAGGTAGCAACTGCAGTACATCCTATTGTCAACACAAGATTGTTGAAATTTTCTGATATAAGTGATTGAAAGGCCCTATCTAAGGAGGTACAGCACTGATATCCTTCTATTGTAGCTTCTTTATGAATAGTACCAGTGTAGCTTTCACTGCATTGAGGTTCATAGTCAGTCTCGAACACATTTAAAAGTGTGGGTAATTCTGTCTGCATTAAAAATGATTGTCTGGTTAGCTGAGACAAACTTTAATACAACTGATTTCCAATATTCATTATTGACACGAGATCATTAGCATAATTGTGACCTCTCACGCGAAAACGTTCCTTACGGTATCCGTTCGAACGGTCGAACGCACGGTATGTGAACGGATGATGAACGGATAGAGAAACCGTTTAAAACGGATGCCGTGAACGGCTGAACGGCTTCAGAAAAATTTCGAACGGTTGAAGTCGAACGGCTGAACGGCTAAAGGAAAATTTCGAACGGTTGAAGTCGAACGGCTGAACGGCTAAAGGAAAATTTCGAACGGTTGAACGGCTAAAGGAAAATTTCGAACGGTTGAAGTCGAACGGCTGAACAGCTTCAGAAAAGTTTCGAACGGTTGAAGTCGAACGGCTGAACGGCTGAAGGAAAATTTCGACCGGCTGAACGGCTGAAGTTTTCAACGGATAAGGTCAAAGTAAACGGTTGAACGGCCGATCAAAAACATTCGAACGAAATGACAGTAATTAAGATAAACGCGACACGCGCCGCTTAGATCTGAAAACTGATAGAAAACCTAGAATAAATCTAATCCTGTTTTGAAAATAATAAGTCTTTTGAGAGTAAAGCAAATTCGTTTTCGCGGGGGAGAAACAAAAGCCGGTAATAGTCTGCGTTCTCTTTTAAAATAATTGTCATGCAACCATTTCCAGAATTCGTAATGTAACGCCATTAATTGACTTTGTAAACATCTCGTTTCCGAACACAGGCGACGCTTTCCCCACCATGTATCTTCGGAACTAACAGGCACAATTTATAGTGACAATTTTTACGATGTGCCGAGTAATTTTCGCTACCTTGAGTGCAAGCAATTTTTTTAAGTTAACAAAGAAGCGGGTGCCATTATTTTTGTCCGCTGCGTTGATGTGAGTGTGTACAATAAAAGCGAATCAGCGAGGCATGCGAGGCAGACGTGCGAGGCATGAACAAAACATAGTCTTGAACTATAATAATTATATCGCATTTGAAGTTACCGGTAAGTGAAATTATAAGAATCAATGCGCTGCTTATGACGGCTCAATTACAGTGTGAAAAAGTTCGCTCGATTCGAAACTCTCTGCCGTTTGACGCATTCATGGGGTATTAACTCACTGAATTCAGTCTGTGCGGCGTGGCGCGGCACGGTAAAGCAACTCGCATGCGAAGTTTTTAAATCTTGCGATGCAATGCAATGCAAAAGAAAAACTCAACGTAAAATAGATAACAAGTTTCTTATCGATTCTAGAACAAAGCCGCAAATTTTTCACTTTGCATAATCACTGTTAATTTTCGGCTCAGTGATTCTCATGGAAAATGCGTTGCCCTGGTAACTGCCAGATAACTCGGCTTTTATCACAATCGCAAAATGGAGGAATCAACAAGAGTCGAGATGGATTGTAATCAAACGGAAAACAAGGAAAGTATCATCGCCAACGTGCAAAAATTCATGCAAGATGGGTGCGGATGTCATCGAGGATTGAAAAGTAGTCAGTGTTCTGATCAACTTACAGAGGAAACCGTTCTAGATAATCTATACAACTGCCTGGAACTGTCTCACGTGGAGCTGGACTTGGTTGTCTTAGCAAACATTCAAGCTTTTACGGCGATTGAAGCAATCCGGGAAAAAAGAAAAAGAATTCCACCTTACAGCTTCCTTTATCGGTCTCAGCCCATCTGCAAGGAGATGTTTCTGAACCTCTACGGCATCGGCAAAAAACACAACTTTTTTGAAACGTATAGCTCCAGCCGTTCGAACGGCTCCCAATTTTTTTTGAACGGATAGCTCAAGCCGTTCGAACGGCTCCCAATTTTTTTGGAACGGATAGCTCCAGCCGTTCGAACGGCTCCCAATTTTTTTTGAACGGATAGCTCAAGCCGTTCGAACGGCTCCCAATCTATTTGGAACGGATAGCTCCAGCCGTTCGAACGGCTCCTAATTGTTTTTGATCGGATAGCTCAAGCCGTTCGAACGGCATCCCATCCCGTTGGAACGGCTGATGAACGGCTTACGAACGGCTATCCGTTTCAAAACGGCAAACCGTAAGGAACGTTTTCGCGTGAGAGGTCACAATTGTTCCTTGTTTGTTATTGTACATCAAAGAGCTTAAACTCATTGCAACACATTGTTGTCCTGAATTTTGTCCAAATACCAACTCATTGGCTTAGCTATATGGTGCTGTTATTGTTTTGCTAGGGTCAATGTACATTGGAGTAAGACCAGGGTTTTTCTCTATATCTGAACTCAGTTGAAATTTAGAATAGTTTGATACGTGTGTCTGACTCTTACAAAGACACATGGGTCTATTACAAGAAAACATTGATAAATACAGACTTGCTCTAAACTTCAATTTAATTATCCTTTGATATACCCTTACAGAAAAAATTCAACAAATATTTCTTCTCGTGTTGTGTAATTTTATTTAATCTTACCCTCTTTGTATTAAGCGTACAAACATTCTTTGTAACTCTTCTAACCTTCACACAACAACATAGCCAAGAGGACTTCGGTATGCTTGCTCCTAAACAAATTCCTTCAGTTTTCTGCTCTTTCTTCTGAGAGGTTCCAGAGTAGCTTCTGGTATTCTACTGGGTTCTCAATCACATCTAAATACACAATTGTGTTTACATGTAAACATAATATGAGATAGCTCGTTGGATATAGCAGGTTTCACTTGATATTTCTCGATGGAAGGTTCACTCATAAAGGATCACTAGTAAATTGATCTCTCGTAAAGTTCACGGACCAACCCATTCCAAAAACACTCCACAAGTTTTAGTGTGGGTCTACCGTGAACTGTGTGTTACTTTTTATGTATATTGAGCGTAATAGCCATTGAATTTCTTTCATGTACATCAAGCAAAGAATTGTCCACAAAGGCAGCCATTGCTTTAAACCATGCACTCTAGGGTTCATTCTATGCATGCGCTTACACTTCACGCATGCACTGTAGTGGAACTGCATTTTGTGACTGAACGCACAAAAAAAAGACGAAGTTGAATTTATACCTTGGGTGTTTCCTTTGGAAAGCCCAAGTAATGAGCCTGCTCACTAGTCTTCGCTGAAGTGTAATGTGGCTATGTCTCCACGAATGGAGCATATAAATATGGTTGTAATGACGACGTGACAGTACAATTAATTTATATTATGGTAGTACTTGGGTCATAAAAATCAAATCAGGTCTACTGCTTGATACTGCCTGTTCTACTAGGTCTTTGGTGAAAAAATGAGACTGCAGGCTTATGTTGTTCACTTGTTGTATGGATGTAAGCTTTGTTCAGATCACAATCTTTTGTTGTCTTGAGGCATGATGTGACCAGTTTCCTGAAGAACCAAGCAATTTTTCCTGGAATGCCCAGAAGAGGTTATTTTGCCCTAGCTACCTCCTCTGTTGTTTTCAATGACTGCATTATTTTTTGTCCATATTAATTTCCTCAGTAATAAGGCTTGGCAACTTTATTGGACCCTAGCTCTTGTTCAAATTTATGGCTTACCCTATCTATGAATGAAAGAATCTAAATTTAAATTTCAGCTCGTGTTGCAGCTGTTTACGCTGTACCCAGTGTGGTTGGAAGAATTATGGGAGGTAAGTGGCAATTAAAGTAAATAAAGACCCTCTTAATATAGCACGATTTGTGCTCCACAGCTAGTTGCTGTTTGGTAAATGAACCCCCTCGCCATTGACAGGGAGGGACTGATATACAAATATATACATACAAATATACATATATAAATAAATAAACAAATCTTGATTATAGTCTATCCTTGTGGTATAGTGCTTAATGTGTTTGTGGAGCATCTGATGATTGCATACGTGTGAAACTCAGAGTCACAGAAAAGTTGTCTTATTGATTTGTCCAACTTTCAGAGATATATATATATATATCTTTAGACAGATGAATCTGTCTGATGATCTGATGATCGAGTAAGTGTGAAACTCAGAGTCACAAAAAAGTCTAATTGATTGGTTCTACCTTCAGATATACCATTCTCTGCGAATGCATCCAGCACTATACCGTAAGGATAGACTATAATCAGGATTTATATATATATTATATAGTTCAAAATGACTAAAATGAAACATGCGTGATTCCCTGTTACTCTGAGTTTCTCAAAAACTCAGAGTAACAGGGAATCATGCGTATTTCATTTTAGTCATTTTAACTGTATTTCACTCTACACTCATGTGTAAATGTGGGGGTAGAGTCTACCTTGGCGTAAAGTGCTAAATGCTGGGGTAGCAGAGATGAGTATATATAAGTGAAAGAATCAAAGAGGACGCATAGATTCTCTGTTATTCTGAGTTTCACACCTAGGTGCTCATCAGTTCTGTCTGATGAGCGCTTAGCCAAGTGGCTGAGGTGTGACAGGGTTTAGGCCTGGTTACCAATCCTGCAATGCAGGCTTTAAACCTCAATGAATAGGACAAGCCCCTTCCAGCCTGCAATGCACCCAACCACAGGATAATGTAAAAAATAACTATGTGATTATCGAAAAAGCATAAACCATCTCTAATTCAGTTTGCAGAAAAGTTCAGCTGTTTATCAACTTTATTTGTTATCTCTTGAACAGCTGTAAATGTTCACTGTAGTTTTCAGACTGTGGGTGGAGTGGTGGTGGCAGTTGGTGCTTGTGTTGTCTTGTATAAATACTCCAGAGGCGATAACGATATCCAACAATTTGCAAATCTCTTTAACGAAGCAATCCTTCCGGCAGCCAACAGCTTGAGAGCAATAGGGAATGGGTCCTTATGCTTTACAGTCCAGGCAGAAGATAGAGCAGCCCTCCAGTTGCTATGGGAACAATACCAGGACAACACACTACAGACAAAGCTGCAAGACTTTCTGGTGACAGAAGAAATAAAGCAACTGGCAGATGGTGAAGACATGAGTGTGACTGTATACATTGATGAGCAGGAATATCATGATGCTTGTTTGGATTTTATGATGGAGTTGCAAGGTAAATAATTTAATAATAGGATTGTTGTTTCATTGGTCTCTCATACAGTGATTTGCAGTGTTTAATGAAGATATAAAGGTTCTTCTCAAAACACTAAAAGGCCAAATACAACCAGGGACTATCCTCCTCAAGCAAGGGGCTTTTATAGCTTAGTTCCACTTTCTTAAAAAGACAAGGGAGTCTACTTCATTAACGTCAACTGCATTACATGAACAACAATAATTAAAAGCACCTCACACACCATGGAAACTACTTATAACAGGAGTGTAAAGTCTTCCATCCCCAAAGTATTTGGAAAAACTGCAGGGTTGTAAATAAGGTGCTAAGTTGTTGTGATTTTGTCAAAGAAATTGACCATAATTGGAGCCAGTAATATCTGGTGACAAAAATCCAAGAGTTTCTGATTGCTTATTTTGTGTTTGTTTGTCCATTTGTTTGTTTTTCAATTTGATTTCCAGTCTTTAGTGACGAGGAGTATGGTCATCACAGAGACGTAAATAGAAGGAACTCAGATTCTGTCATCTATATTAAACCAAAGGAAAATGAGGCGGCAGCTGTACTGTCTTCGCTGAAAACAGCAGAAATTAAATTTCAGCGAGAGAAAATTGAAACCCTGGAAAATCAAATCAACAGGATTTCAAAGGTATACAGTGAACAGGAGGAAAGAGATCTAGAAATTCAACAGCTTGGACATATCGCCGATCAGCCAGATGATGGTAGGAAATAGCACAATTCATTTTCTATGATAATTGATAATTATTAAATTTGTCGTGTTGCTTAAAATTTTTCCACACTTACTACCTGCCTACTACAGGAGACTAATTAATATCATATCTTTCTTAGAATCAAGGGGTAAGTTTCTAAAGAAACTGTGGTGCTGCGTCGGTGGGAGAGTATAGCAGGTAATTTAGTGTAAACAACTGGGTTGAAAACGTAAATTAGCCACCGTAAAGGGTAAAAAAGCTGACGTTTCGAGCGTTAGCCCTTCGTCAGAGCTCTGAAGAAGGGCTAACGCTCGAAACGTCAGCTTTTTTAGCCTTTACGGTGGCTAATTTACGTTTTCAACCCAGTTGTTTACACTAAATTACTTTCTTAGAATCAGCCTGACAAAGCTTAGTAAATAAAGAAAACCTAAACAAGTCATTTATTAAGAATTTTCTCCATGAAAAATTTAAGATCAAATATAGAGTTAAAAAAAAGTCATGCACAGCAATCTTAAACCCTGTTAAACAAGCAAACATTTTTTGATTCAATATCGCGTGAACGATGAAGCCATTCATAAGATATCAGTTTCATGTGCAATTTAATGTGTAATTCCCTTGTCAGGTAACAAATTTTCCTATGGAATACAAGGGTTACATAATGAATATGGAGGTGTTTAACCCTTGACACCCTAACATCAGTCTCCATATTCTCCATACTATTTTTTGTATGTTTCTTGTGGTACTGAAAACGAGAATTCATTTGAAGATCAATGCTTCTTAGGTTGGTGATCATTTCCTTTATTCTCATGAGCTTAGTGAATGATTCAGCAGTTATATTACTGTAAGGAGAAGTGAGATGCTCAGGTCACTTGCAGAGTTTAAAGAGTTAAGGTAGATAGTGAAGTTACAACAAATGGCTCAGAAGAAAAAAGTCTCCGAGGTCTAGGTTTTAAAGCACAGTCAGTAAGTTGATATTCAGGTTGCTAATTATTTTGCTCAGTTACAAATTGCGATTAGTACGCACTTTGATGGACCAAATTTTGAAGGTTAATAATACTTGCGCTGGCTTTCACTTTGACATAAATAGCCTTACTAAATTATTAAGGAAGAATTTGTTCCCTTCTAATGCCATCGAGAATGTTGTAAGAAAATTTCTTAACAATACTTCACCTCCGACTATTCTCAGAGTGCTGCTCATAGGGAAAATTGTTTGTATTTTAAATTACCATACACCGGTCCTTTTTCCATCACAGGGCAATGCAAAGTGAAACATCTTAATTTATTCCTTTCATACTAATTAGTCTCCCTTCTTAGCTTCAACAGTTTCACTTTTTTTTAATTGTTCTTGTTAACATCTCACTTTATTCTACTATTTATTGCATGATTTCATTTTATTTCTCATTATACAACTGATGATGGATGATGTTTCATCCAAAACATGTTTTGTTTTCATTAAAAAATATAAGAAAAATGAACTTCAAAAGCAATGTGTGGTTCATCAAAGTGATAAAATGATAACAGTAATGATAAAGAAGATGAGATTAATAGTTATGATGATGCTAATGAGGTGGGTGACAACAGTAATAATAATAATAAGAATTAAGCCTTACTCAATTTGAAGCAAATTTCCAATGTGGTTCATCAAAGCAATATCTTACTCTGTGCTTCTACAAAGCCTTATTATCTTTTGTATAATAACTATTTGTCTATTGGTAATATTGCTTCTGGTTTTTATGATTGCAACATTTGGATCTGATTGACTCATTAACTATCTAAATTATCAGGGAGTCTCACAGACACAGAATAAGACTCTGGGTCTTCCATATGGGTCATCAAACTTTCGAGATAAAAGATGATTTGGGTCAGTTCCTCACAGAAACATAACATTTGAATTCCAGATTTTCCATAGCCAATGTTATTATGGTTATCTTAGGATTCTTATCTTAATTTTCTTGATTGTGCTGATATTGTTTTAAAGTAGGTATCACACTTTCCTCTCAACAACAGCCGCAACAGCAACTGAGTCTGATTGGTTGAGCTTTCAACCAAAAAAAAAGACTCATGAACCCACTGAGTGGGGTTTGTCCTGAGAGGGGCAAGGGCTGCAGACATCATCTTAGGTCTTCAGGGGATGGGTCAAGTCAGGCAAAAAGTAAAGGTGGCAGCTGGCACTAAAGGAAAAATCTGCAGATTTTAAACCTCTAGATCTTGGCAGCCCAGTTTATACACCAATTAACTACAACCACAGACTTTGACACCCATTTTTTGTTTGCAGCCAAATCTGATGTTTATAGGAATGAGGGTAATGAGGCCTTCAAGAAAGGAGATTTCATCAATGCTATTCATTTTTACACCAAAGGAATTAAAATCAACTGCAATGACAAAGAACTGAAGGCCAAACTGCAGAACAACAGGGCAATTGCACATTCTAAACTTGGTAAGATGATGAGAGCTTTAATATGCATTTTTTTTCTATTTTGAAGCTATTGAGTTGTCTGTAGTAGTTTTCTGAAAAAGGTGATGATTTTGAATGCATGCCCGGAAAAATTTGCATCTTATCTTGGCCTCTCAAATATACAAAGAAGTAACCTCTTACCCCAGATATCAATGAGCATCACAAGTTTTTCCCAAAATTCTAGTAATGGTAGTTGGTTTGCAACATGTATGGCTAATCAGAGATATTTATTTCAATAACAGGAAATCACCAGGATTCACTAAGGGATGCAGAAGCAGCCATTGAGTTAAATCCAACTTTCCTTAAGGCAATTGTGAGAGGTTAGATATGTTAGCTGTACTATAATAATAATAATAATAATAATAATAATAATAATAATAAAAAGAACTCAACACTCTAAGGTTAAATGAGGTTAAATGGAGTTCAATCTGGTCTCAATTGACTTTAATTAAGAGGTCGAGACCACCCTGATGAACATTTGAATCCAGCTCTTGACTGTTACGCCATTACTTTCCATTAATCCTGATGAGAATATTATTTTGAACGGGATGAAGAACTCAATGCAGAATGCAAAGCAAAATTTCAGCATGAATATTTTAATTCCTTAAGTTCAATGAGTCACAGGTGTCAGATATGTTAAGAGCGTGTCCACAAGAGCACCGGGCAGTCGTGCTACATGCCATCTCACCGATTTCAATGAAACTTTACCAGTTTAAAGGGTCTACCCCAAAACTAAAAAAAAAACAGACTGGTTTCTGTTTTGGTTTTTTCTTGGGGGGAGATAGACCACCCCCCGGTTTTTCTTGGTTTTCACCAAGGAAATCGCTTCAAATAGGTAAAATGTATGAAGCTCTCACTGCGATGGTATTTAACCGATTACTTTGAAGATTTGCACACATATTTTTACATCCTTGGTTAATGTCTGTTGCGAGTATCAGTCAGTTTGATGGACGGCTTGTCAATCAACAGAGGCAAATATACGACTGTGTTTTTAGACTTTTCGATTCATCCAAATATTTGACAACTTTGAGGTCAAATATCTCCCGTTTCCAGAAAGCTACAAGACTAATCTTAATTACCCTTTATAACCCATCATTTCATCTCTGAAAATCATCAAAAAAATATGTGGGCGCTACCGTATTTTTGTCTTGGATGCCTTTTAAAATCTGCGACTGTGACAAGTTTCTCTCAACTACACCTGTCACGCAATTCTTGCTCTAGGCGGTCACTTGACAAAATAAACCTACATTTTTTAGCTCTTTATACAAGATGATTGATCAAGAAAGGTGAAAAATGTGAAAAACTTTCGAGATGCATGTAGACGAAAAATCAGCAGATATGGCTTCTTTACGGCACAAAACATTCATTAGTCTATAAATTGATTATTAATCATCATCATTGCTCATTGTAGGAAATTTCAAAGTCATATACTGCGTGTTGGTCGATATTACTACACGTTCCAGAGTGCTACAACTTCGGCTTTTACAGACAAGAAATTCTGCGCTCTCGCTCGAGAGCAAACATCAATAGTTCTATCGGACTAAAAACTGTGCTTCAATCCCGAAAATAAAATTAAAAAAGTGTTGTCGTTGCGACTTACCGCCATCGAACATTTCCATGCAGAACTCCGCTAAGCTAACATCTGTTGTGTGACCCTAAGACTCTCCTTAGGAATTATTCAAGCGCGTTGTTCATGCTCTCTGCTAGATACCAATTTCAGAATAACCTACAGATCTCTATGATTATTTGCCTGCTTCGATCGTAAAATATCTGCATATTTTTTCAAGCATTCTATTACTACATATAAATCTACATCTCTCTAGATCGAGTGTTGCCGGCGTTTAATTGCGTGACTTGTAAAATTTTTAAATAAGAACGAGCCAGCAGTAATTTGACAAGTAGGCTTCCTGCAAATTTCCCTTGATGAAATCGCAAGACATAGCCAGTTGGTTTCGTGAACAAAGACAATAAATATGAAAGAAAAGTGAGATGCAAATGTCTTTTTTTTTTAGCTTAATACCAGCTGTACCCTCTCCTGCAGTCTTCGTCTAAATTTTGTAAGGTCCCTCCTTATCTTCTGCCTTGTTCGGTCAGTTTCGAATTCTGAAGCTAGATCATTGGCATCGGCCTCTCCGTCCTCATTCATATTTACAGAGGGGTACCTCATCAATAAACCATTTTTGTTACGGCGGATAACCGGCTGAAGTATCGAGCGATTTGCTGCTGTATCAACCGGTCAGTCTTAGACAACATTTCTGGCTGGTGTTGTCTCTTAATCTCGATATTTGGGAAATCACATTAGAGGCGGTTGCCTTACTAGTTTCCTCTCTTGTCCAGCGCACGTCTAGGAGATAATTCTCTGCTTTCTGAGAAAAGGTGGCTGTTTTTTGTGTTTTCCAAATAGCCCATCCAAAGTCCACTTGGTTAGTAAGGGATTGTTCGTCAAAATTTTACCTGAGGTTCGACCTTGAACGTAGCCATCCCCTATAGAATGGCAAGCCGGTCTTGGTACATTTCCTCTTGATATTATCCTAGGCGGAATTTTTTTGTCAGCTTCACTGTGTTTGTCTTTGTCAGGGTACATTTGGATGGCAGCCAATGACTGAAACGTCTTGGTACATCCTTCTTTTAGCAAGAATATCTCGCTTTCTTGTTTCGTCTATGACGGATTGGGTATAGTTCTCGCGATGACCCGCGTTTAGAAATCTGTCCACGTTGCTGATAACCACCCGCTTCTGAGATTAGTTTGCTAAGGGTTTCTAATGTGATGAGCCTAGTGAGACCCTGAGGTGCTTCAAACTGTGCCAGTTGGTCTGCGCTATAAACTTGTCGCAGTTCTTAAGTCAGAGGGAGGATCGCCCACCTCTATTTATGTGAGCGCCTCTACAGTAACTGCGTATCCCTAGCAATCATATGACATAAAGTTGATCTCAGTCACAAATCACCAGTTAGGAAAACTGATGTTCAGATAAGCGCTCTTCTTGCCCTTTCTTCCTTATTCGACTCTAATATAGCAGCTATAGTACGCGTTCTATTTAGGTTTACAGTCACTTTCCCACCAGGAAGACTCGCCACCAGCTTTGATTTCTTCTGCCATCTGCAGATTCACCTCTCTCTCACTTTATGTCTCCGATTTTTATGAGGAGGATACTGGCATTTACAAACCTGAAAGTCTGAATCTCACACCAAGTTGTGCACGATATTTGAGGTACATCGTGAAATCGCAACCTTCGTAATCTCCAAATAAGCCAGTACGCGCTAGAATAAGCTTCATCTCGGACGCAACGCATGTTTGGGATACATCGACGTCTCTCAAATGTTTTTTTATAGCTGTATACCCACGAATTTAGAGGTATGAGCTGTTGCCGTCCCTGGCCAGCGCTAGAAAAATTACATTTGGTTCTACAGTTAGTTGCAAATGAACAAGACAACTGCACCATCTTGACTTTATCAATTCGAGTGTTAGATTGAACTGAGAGCTTTTTAGACACTCGATTTCTTATATGGCATCACTATGCAGACGTAATACAACTGATACACCTACACTACATAGGATTAACAATGTCTGTTGTGCTGTTGCGAGAAGGAGGAAAATATTACCGGAAGTGTAAACTCTTTTTAAAAAGAGTTTCAGAGACGTTTCAGAGATGTCTATCTTTGATCGGCTGTCACAAAAAAATGACCCCTACTTAAATTTACTAGGAAAAATGAACTTACCAACTCCTTGTTGAAAAAATTGGGATTCATTTGACCGATACGCCGGTTGTTTCAATTTTGCTTTTTCCTCGGGCTCCTATAAAACAGTTCATGACTAATGAATAAAATGTTTTGAAATACCGTTCAAATTTGCCTTTATTTCCTGCGTGCAAATCAAGGGTAGACAAAGTTTTTAAAACATTTGACTAGAATTTCATGGAGTTCACCTCGATAATTTTCATCGGCCAGAGTCAAGACGCGCCAAGGTAAGCGACACCGCCCTCCAGTAAAATAATTTTCCAAAGAATAAACGTGGCGAGCGTGAGGAAACCCAATTTTTTTTATCATTGTGATCAAAGCCCAATGATGTACCTAAATTGATACTTACGGTATCAAACCATTGATTATGACAGGGTGAGCTTAATTTTTCTGCCGAGGTCGACGTGACTTCACATTAAAAGCGTTTTTGACGGAACAAACTAGTGAGCATCACTGCACGAACTGAGAAAGTAAAAACTTGTATTTATCTTCCACGCATTTCGTCTGACAATAGTAGACTTTACCAAGGATTTTTTCAAGTAGGGTAGACAAGCTTGCTCATATACAAGTAGTAAATAAGTTGTCTCTTTGCTATTGAAGCCAGTGGATAGAATTCGCCAGGTGCGCGTACGATGTTATACATGCATGACATTTTCCGGACGTTACATGTACGAGTACGTGATCCGTTTGAGGGTCATAGATTTAGTGTAAATATTTCACCCTTCAACATCACGCAATGTCTCTAGTTTACAGAAGTCTTAGAACGTTTAATTATATGGAGTTGCCTTCTGCAGGTAGAAGGCTACAAGCGAATTTCTCAGGCGTCATTGCCTTTGATTTCTCAATTGATGTTGTCGCAAACACAGTTTTTGGGAGTCACGAGACAAAAAAACTTATCAGGACCTAGTTTCATGTTCTAATGGAAATAAATAGCAAATAAAAACACATTTTCTTGAGAAATAAAGTTACAAATGACGGGGGTTCTCTGAAACAAATAGTGATAAAAAAGGATTTCAGTTCTGGTCAATATTGACTTTTCATGGCCTACTTCCAAATCTGAGGGAACGTGCTGAGGGAATAAAAAAACATAAATGTGTGATAATGCAAGCAAGAGAGTGAAAATCCAAATGAAGAAAAAACGTGATGCAGCGTGCAGATATCTTTTGAGCCAGACCTACACACCTAAGCCCGACACCATCCAGAAAAACTCGAAAGAGTCCTGTATATGAACTAGCTCGCACGTGCACGCAGGAAAGGCCATGACAATCAGCGAAAATAATAGCAAATGCAGATGATATTTGCAGTCACAAATTAGGAAAATAAGATAACAGAAGGTTTAGGAACCTCCTAGAATTTCCTTCTTTAAAAAAAAAAGATTAACAATTTTTACTTCTCATGAAAGGTCACGCAGTAACCCTACAAATACTATTCCTTTACGTGGAATTTCTTGATGGTGGAAAGTGGAAAAAACATTTTCCAGTCTTATTTTCTGGAAACATGGCGTAGTTAATGAATTTATGGGGCTATTGATATTTCCTAACAAATAAGGGGGGGCAGAGTTTCCCGTCATTCGCGTTAAGGAAAAGCCGAAGTTGTTACACTCGGGAACTTGTGCGTCAACAAGCAGGCGACATGTGACTTTAAAATCTCCTTTCCTGTTACAGTTTCCTTATGGTAAACTGTGCAATAATGATAATAGATGATCAAAGTATAGGCTAGTGAATGTTTTGTTCTGTAGAAAAGCCCTATGTCCTGAATTTAGCAAACCTTCAAAGTAATAAACGACTGAAGAAAGAAACGCAACGATTTTCCCATTGATTTTTCATCAACATGCATCTCTCTAAACGTGAGATTTTCCATTCCTACAAAAAATCTCGAAAGTTTTTCACATTTTTCACCTTTCTTGATCAATCATCTTGCATAAAGAGCTAAATAATGTTGGTTTATTTCGTCAAGTGACCGCCTAGAGCAAGAAGTGCGTGACAGGTGTAGTGGAGAGAAACTTGTCACAGTCGCAGATTTTAAAAGGCATCCAAGACAAAAATACGGTAGTGCCCAAAGATTTTTTTGATGAATTTAAGAGATGAAATGATGGGTTATAAAGGGTAATTAAGATTAGTGTTGTAGCTTTCTGGCAACGGGAGATATTTGATCTCAAAGTTGTCAAATATTTGGATGAATGAAAAGTCTTAAAACACAGTCGTATATTTGCCTCTGTTGATTGACAAGCCGTCAATCAAACCGACTGATACTCGCGGCGACCATTAACTAAGGATGTAAGAATATGTGTGCAAATCCTCAAAGTAATCGGTTAAATACCATCGCAGTGAGAGCTTCATACAATTTACCTATTTGAAACGATTTCCTTGGTGAAAACCAAGAAAAACCGGGGGGTGGTCTATCTCCCCCCGGAAAAAAACTAAAACAGAAATCAGTTTGTCTTTTTTAGTTTTAGGGTAGACCCTTTAAACTGGCAAAGTTTCATTGAAATCGGTGAGATGGCATGTAGCACGACTGCCCGGTGCTCTCGTGGACACGCTCTTAAGTCACTATCTAGCTATTTTAAAAAAAAAGGATCAGGACTTACCTAACTCTTAGTGTTTTTGTGGGAGTTGTTGATCCCAATTTAAGTGTTCTTAGAAGTTTCAGTTGTCTGTAAAGCTAAATAAATCTAACTGAAACCTAATAGGGCCTGCTTATTCTTTACCGTTTAGTTTTTTTGTTTTGTTTTGTTTTGTCTTTTTTTTTTTTCTTCTGGTCTGTAATGATTTCAATGGTTTCAGGTTCTTTTCTTAGAATTGAGCTACAGTAAAGTATGCTTCTTTGTGTTGTTGCCTACAGGAGCCACTGCTTGTGTTGAATTGAAGAGATTTGAAGAAGCAATCACTTGGTGTGATAAGGGACTAGCTGTATCCTTTGAAGGAATCTTTCATTTTTAACCGTCGGTATAATGGAAATAGTTTCCATAATTTGATGTTTCAAGGGTATTAATTATGATGGGAACTTGTCAGCTCATATACTTTAAGTGTGTGTGATTAAAAACATAGGAGAAGTTATTAATGAAATTACTCCTTTTAGCCAATTTGACTCAGTTCTACTATCCATGCCAACAACTGGTACATTAGTTTAAATAACCCTTTAATTTCCCAAACCAAATTTGTAATTATCCTTACCGTCAACCATACAATTCTTGTAATGTTAGTACAGAGAATTCAGTATTGCATCAACTAATTATTTTCAAATTGATATATTTTTTTTTACTCTCAACACTTATCTGATTGATATTGTATTGCTATTGTAAGGAGAAATTCTCTTTTGGTCACTCACGGGAGTTAAAGGGTTAGAAGACTAATATTCATCCAGTTTATACATGGTACTTGGGTAGATGATCTCTCTAAAACAAGCCAGAACAAAAAGCTCGGTAATGTTTACATATCTTATGCAGATTTTCTTGCCTTCGACCTTTTTCCACTACTTAGAGACTCGGAAACTTTCGTCCTGCTTTCCTATCGACAAATAAAAATTTTAAAGACATGTATTTGTGTTGTAGACTCATTTCTTCCACTGCTGTAAAACATTTGTCTGATGTTAAAGCTATATTAATTAAAAAATTGAGCAAGTGCTGCTCAGTTTTTGGAAACTAGGGATTAAATGTAGATATTTCGCGTTAAATTTTGAGGCTGCAAACAGAAAAAACATTTTTTGAAGTGTAGATTTACTTCATAACTGACTTTAAGACTGAATGTTGATAAATCATCTACCTTTCATGCAAAGCCCTCCTAATGGGCCATTTTATAGTTGTGTACTTAGTTGCCAAGCCTTTGATGTTTGGAGTGAGGCTGAAGGTGACCTTGTTGTGATAGAGACTGGTATCTAGAAACGATAATAACAAAGTAGTTTGCATTTAAAAAGCAACAATGTTTTTATCATAACAAGGTCACCCTTAATCATCGCTCTTGTTCAGAGGCTTGGGAACCAAGCACGCAAATGTTAAAATGGACTATTACATATCAATATGATAAGAAACATAATCTTTTTTGTTTTTTCCACATTTTTAACCCTTAACATAAAAAAGATTGACAAAAACAACAGGATCTTGTTGTCATTAAGACTTCAGTCTTTCAGTGAAGTGGGAGATAAGTCCATGGAGGAAAAAGATCCTATTAGTCATGACCACGGTAGTGCAAGTTCAGGTGATGTCAAGAAAGTCATAGATCTTTATAATCGGGGAGAGGAAGCCATAGAGTACCTCAACCTATATCTTAAAAAAGCTAAAGAAGTAGGAGACAAGCATGAGGAGGGTAACGCTTATGGCAGTCTTGGCAATGCTTATGGCCATCTGGGTGATTTCAAAAAAGCCATAGAGTACCAGAACCTACATCTTAAAATAGCTAAAAAAGTAGGAGACAAGCATGGGGAGGGTGGTGCTTATGGCAATCTTGGCAATGCTTATTTTAGTCTGGGTGATTTCAAAAAAGCCATAGAGTACCACAACCTACATCTTAAAATAGCTAAAGAAGTAGGAGACAAGCGTGGGGAGGGTAACGCTTATGGCAATCTTGGCACTGCTTATGACATTCTGGGTGATTTAAAAAAAGCCATAGAGTACCACAACCTACATCTTAAAATAGCTAAAGAAGTAGGAGACAAGCATGGGGAGGGTAAAGCTTATGGCAATCTTGGCACTGCTTATCACATTCTGGGTGATTTGAAAAAAGCCCTAGAGTACCACAACCTACATCTTAAAATAGTTAAAGAAGTAGGGGACAAGCATGGGGAGGGTAACGCTTATGGCAATCTTGGCAATGCTTATCACCGTCTGGGTGATTTCAAAAAAGCCATAGAGTACCATAACCTACATCTTAAAATAGCTAAAGAAGTAGGAGACAAGCATGAGGAGGGTAACGCTTATGGCAGTCTTGGCAATGCTTATGGCCATCTGGGTGATTTCAAAAAAGCCATAGAGTACCAGAACCTACATCTTAAAATAGCTAAAGAAGTAGGAGACAAGCATGGGGAGGGTGGTGCTTATGGCAATCTTGGCAATGCTTATTTTAGTCTGGGTGATTTCAAAAAAAACCATAGAGTACCACAACCTACATCTTAAAATAGCTAAAGAAGTAGGAGACAAGCGTGGGGTGAGGGTAACGCTTATGGCAATCTTGGCACTGCTTATGACATTCTGGGTGATTTAAAAAAGCCATAGAGTACCACAACCTACATCTTAAAATAGCTAAAGAAATAGGAGACAAGCATGGGAAGGGTAAAGCTTATGGCAATCTTGGCAATGCTTATTTTAGTCTGGGTGATTTCAAAAAGCCATAGAGTACCACAACCTACATCTTAAAATAGCTAAAGAAGTAGGAGACAAGCATGGGGAGGGTGTTGCTCATGGCAATCTTGGCAATGCTTATTTTAGTCTGGGTGATTTCAAAAAAGCCATAGAGTACCACAACGTACATCTTAAAATAGTTAAAGAAGTAGGAGACAAGCATGGGGAGGGTGGTGCTTATGGCAATCTTGGCAATGCTTATGACAGTCTGGGTGATTTCAAAAAAGCCATAGAGTACCACAACCTACATCTTAAAATAGCTAAAGAAGTAGGAGACAAGCGTGGGAGGGTAACGCTTATGGCAATCTTGGCAATATGTTTATCGAACTCTGGGATATTTCAAAAAGGCCAACAATTACAGCCAGCTAATCTTAAAATTAGCGAAAGAAGTAGGAGACAAGCGCGGGGAGGGTAACGCTTATGGCAATCTTGGCAATATGTATCGAACTCTGGGATATTTGATAAAGGCCAACAATTATTACCAGCTAATGCTTAAAATTGCTAAAGAAGTAGGAGACAAATCCTTAGAGGCCAAGGCCTACTATTCAGTAGGATGTGTTTTTGAGTCGCTTGGTAGACTGCCTAAAGCTGTTGTTTATTATCAAGCTAGCATAAACTTATACAATTCCTTAAGAGTACTTCTAAAATCTAAAGATGAGTGGAAAGTTCATTTTCGAAATCAGTATCAGATGGCGTATACGGATTTGTGCAGAGTTCTTGTAGAACAAGGTAATATAGATCAAGCCTTACTTGCTGCTGAGCAAGGACGAGCTCAAGCTCTGACCGACCTTATGGAATCCAGTTTTTGTGGTGGAGCAAGTCAGCACAGAGGCGATGAAAGATTTAGCAGTTTATGAAAACGTTCCATCAAACACCGTCTTTCAGGCAGTGGACAAAGCTGACGTCAATCTTTGGGTTGTGTCCGAAGGAAAACAAGTTCAGTTAAGACAAAGTAAACTTAATGGTTCTGTTTCAGGGAAAAAAAGCTAGCCAGTCCCTCGAGGCGTTCGTGCTCGGTGCTTTCTTTAATGTGCGATGCGAGAATCCATCTTTGGATGCTTTGAGCATTTTGTATGACACCGTCATGATGCCGGTGGCTGACCTGGTTCAAGGAGATGAGCTAGTCATTATTCCCGATGGACCTCTGTGGCTCGCTCCTTACGCTGCATTGAAGGATGGTAATTCTAAATACCTGTGTGAATCATTCAGAATCCGACTCGCTCCATCGTTAGCAAGTCTTAGACTCATTGCCGATTGCCCAGATGATTATCACAGAAGCAGTGGTGCGTTACTTGTAGGAGATCCGTGGGTATCCGAGGTTACTAACAGCAAGGGGAGAAAGTCCTCGAGCAGATTCTGTGTGCTAAAGAAGAAGTAGAAATGATCGGAAAAATTCTGAATATCACGCCAATCACTGGCAGACAGGCCACGAAGCGTGAGGTGTTGAAAAGACTCGGTTCCGTTTCCTTAATTCACTTTGCGGCACACGGAAGCAAGGAAAATGGCGAAATTGCTCTTACACCTGATCTAGACCGAATATCTTCTGTGCCGACGGAGGAGGATTACATTTTAACAATTGGAGATGTGTTGAATGCTCAAATTCGCGCCAAACTTGTTGTGCTTAGTTGCAACTACAGTGGTCACGGCGAGATCAAGGCTGAAGGTGTGGTTGGTATCGCGCGCGCTTTTATGGGGGCTGGTGCTCGGTCTGTTTTGGTGTCCCTGTGGGCGATTGATGACGAGGCTACTCTCGAGTTCATGAAAAGCTTTTATCAACACCTTGTAGAAGGTAAACCTGCAAGCGAGTCACTGAACCTGGCCATGAAAAGCCTCAGAGAATCAGATGAGTTCCACGACATCAAATACTGGGCGCCCTTTTCGCTGATTGGAGATGACATCACTCTTGACTTCAATGCAAAGGAAAGAGAAAATTTAAATGTAAAATCATATAGATAAAAAATTGCCTTTTTTTTCATCTCAAAAAGAACGACGCAGGAACTTGGAAGGTTGAAATGTTTCTCTATTTCGGCAATTTTGTGTTATTTTTCATTACTCTTAGTTTACTTTTTCGTTAAATGGAACTTGAGATGTGTAACTTTACTTTGGTGAAGAAAATAAAGAGACTGTTTTATTACATTTTGATCAGTGGAATTGTCTTTTTTTGTTACCTTTACAAATGCAAATGCTCGCGAAGAGAACGAAATGCAACAAGGCTTCGGTTAAGAATACCTGCAGTAGTTGAAGGCGATTACGAGGTTTCCGTTTTCGCCAAAATGACACTCAGCTCTATTCCTGCTATTACAGTTAGTTGTATGGAAAACAATGTAATGGTTTTTTCTTGTGCATAACCAGGAACTTGTCCACCTGGTTTTAATTACATTTATACTGTAAGTTCTAGATAACCAAAGAAACAGTTCGTTATTTGCAAAAGTTGGCGAAATTTAAAAAAAATTGATTTTCATTTTCAAATTTTTTTCCTTCAATTGTGAAGCAGTCTAATTTTATTAGTGCCAAGATTGCCACTCTAAGCTTAATTTGATGAAGTAAACATCAGAGATGATGTTATTGAATTTACTGTCCATATGTCAGAGACATTAAACCCACTTTTAGGGGTGTAGCCAGCCTTTAGTCCTGTAGGCCCGGCCTACCATTGTTTTCCACCTGCTTGACTTTTGTAATATGACTCTTGCAAATGTTGAAACAAAAATTGAATTTTCTTAGGGAACAGGCCCACGGCAAGTCAAAAAGCTGGCTACAACCCTGCTTTTAACCAAACGAGTTTCGTCAATTTTAGTCTGTTTTATCAAACACTTATCTGTTCGTTTTAAAAAAAAACGACGACAGAGAAGTGAAAAATTGTCCATGTAATCTAAACAAGGAAACAGCGAAGAGGATTCACTGTAACTGAAGTTTTCTATAGCTGCGACTTTTAATTTATATGACATGGAAGTTGTTGTTTCAAGTAGGAAATTATTTTACGCCCACAAATCACAGAAGCAATGAAAGTAAGCCCTGTAATCCTCAATGGGAATTATTTTGGTGAAAAGGTTCATAAACAATTGTAAATCTAGTCCTCAGTTGAAAAGGTTCAGGGCTTCAGGACAAAACTTTCAATTTTTGAAAATTCCCTATTCTAACTTTTTCCATTGCTCTAAATTTAGCGTAGTATAATTTGAAGATGTCTGATCATTAACATCTTTCTTAGATTTAAGAATTTATACATAGGTATTCAAAGAATGCTTTGTAATTAGAACCCGTTGTGTGGTCAAAAGTTTGAGATATACTGTATCACAGCTGTTTAGAAGAAATTTTTGTAAAATCAATCTTAATTTAGCAGATTTTCGCAACTACCATTGGTATATGCTGGTATAAAATGTAATAGTGAACCTCGGACATGGTTGAATATGATGTAACGTAGGATTTTAAAAACAAGTTGGGACAATTTTAACTGAGCATGCTTTGTATAATGTCAGTGTATTTCATGTGAAGTGTTTTGATGTATTTTTATTCACAGTTAAAGATAATTATTCATTTACCTTAGTTTAATCAACTCATGAACAGCCAAGTTTGATAAATTCTCCCAACTGATAAGAATGTATTTCTTTGTTGCTTCATTCCGAGAATTCAATGTGACATTACGTTTCTATCAAAAAATTATCCTCAAGTTAAGATTTTCTCTAATTCTTATTGACACCACGTGTTTTGCTGTGTTAATACTGTGAGGAGAAAATTAAATTATGATCAGTCTTGGTAGTAAATGGGTTCATTTTAGTGTCTCCGTTCAGCACGTATTTTACTTTAAGCCTTGACAATTTAATGCAGTTTCTACTATACTTATTTTTTATTTCTTTGTGTAAGAGAAATGTAAAGTGTAAAAAATACAAAAACTACGTTGATTTTCATTGTCTGTCTTCATATTCCAAGGATTCACGTGAAATGCAGAGAGAACAGATCCTATGGGGACTTCAATGCTTGTTTTGACCTGTGCGCGCCTATTTGATTAAGTGTACAGCTGATAGTCAAGCCCCTACCCACTTAACAAACGCGAGTCGTCTCTTTGATTTTATGTCTTCCACTTCTACGGTTTTGAGCGCCGACGGACGTGTTCATACTGTTACATGTATGCGCCTTTATTACCTTTTTCCTCACACAAGTTTTTACACCTTTTCACATTTGCGCGTCCCTTCTTTTGTTCTTCCTTTTAACAATAATCAAGAAAGGATAAGTTACTATCAATAGTACTTAGAGAGATAGTCGATAGCAACTTGAGAGATTCATTATGAGCAAACGCGTTCCATCCATTATTGGACTACATGTGTCCTTACATCGTAGAATAAACTCGAATACACACGCCCATATGCCTCTCTCCTCCCTACCTTCAATACCAGTATACATCCCTCTACTTCAACCTTTATCATTATACAGCACAATACAACATTCTACCCCTGAGTAACACTGTAAATCCGTAAATTGCAATAACTTCACAGCGCTTCACAACCATATGTACCCCTAAATAGCTACATGCTTCCCTCTACCGAATTTTACATTACCATACAGCGCTATATAAATAATTTCTCCAATTTGGCGCGAAAATGAGTACGAATAGTTGTCCGCGGACATTGCCTGTTCCAAGATGCAAAAACCGAGACCTTCGAGGGACAGACAATGTCCAAGGCCAAATACCTGTACGTATTTTCGCGCAAAATAGTGACAATTGTGTTTTTTTTATCCTTCAAATATTTTGCAACGCACGTGAAAAATATTTATTAACAGCTTCATGAATTGAATGACTCAAGGGGGTAATAAAGAGCGTTAGCCCTTCGTCAGAGCGATTGCAAAGGGCTAACGCTCGAAACGTGAGCTTTCAATTTACGTAATTAACTCAGATGATAATGCTAACTTATCCAGAATTGAATTAAGTTTGAAAAGAAGACTTATCGTGGTGGATGTAAGGTTTTCAAATTTGGGAATATCGCTTGGGTAATATTCTTGGATATCACTCAGTTTTAGCTGGGTATATTCAGTCGCTTGCTGCGTTTAGATCAGTCGCGCACGAGCAAAAACAATTGATGGATCATAAACAGCGATATCTACTCCTAGATAGCTCTATACTTCTGTCTTCTGTAGTTTACATCACTATACAGCAATATGTACCCGTAAATAGCCTTGATCGGCATAATGGAATACATACATCGAAATTTTCCAGCCTCACGGGCCATGTTTTATGTCTATCTCCAAGGTTCATTAAATACTCGATGAAAACCTTTGCGTCGTTTAAAGAAAACACAGCATTTTCCAGCGCAATCATGACTCGTCTGACGTGAAGATTCAGAGATCGAGAGTTGATTACGGCTTCAAGTTTCAAATTCTTAAAGGCGGGAAATATGTCTTGAATTCTTGGGTTGGACTCAAGAAGTCTGAGACAAAATCATTCATGAACATCGCTATCAATTCTGAATAATTGAAATTCGATTCACGTTCACTTTAGATAATAAATTTAAGTCCCATTTTGCCAGTTATACAAAGAAATCAAGAGTCTGAGCAATACCCACAACAAGACACAATCACACACACGCACATATCTCAGTTCTAAAAATAAAAAGATACATGACAGGGTTGACTCAAGAGCACAATTGGTATGGAGGCTCCGGGTAATGGGCTCCTGCCAATACATTAATTATATTCACCGGCGACCTCGGCGGGGAAAGCCAGGGGACGGATGTTTTTCGAAACGGATGCGATGCGTGAATCGAAACTATTAATAATACTGTCCCATTACTTTCTGCTGACGTCTCGAGTGCACGCAAATCTAATAAAAGGACTGTTAAAGGGCTATGAAAGGAACTAGTCAAATTCAGACTCAAATGTTCACTCTACGTTCCAGTCCTTTTGTCAGCGACATCAGCTGACAACAGCCTTTAATGTACCTAACGAATTTTCTTAATAGCAACATTGAACATCAATGTCATTTAAGAATTTTTTGATAATTCTGAAATATATTAATTCTTAATAAAATATATCAAAACGAAAAATTTTAATAGCTTTTACATCTAAAATTATCGAAAGCTGCGACATTCAGATATGAATTACAAGTTCTTTGAGGTTATAATTCAGGTCGGCAAGTAGTTTTTCTTTTAGGTAGAGGTTCAACTTCTGCCTCAAAGAAAATTTATTTCTCATCTGCCGACTTGAATTCTCAACACTTAATAAACGTAATGAACTCGTATGTTCATGCTCCCACAGAAACAAAGCGTTACTGCGTAGCAATTGAACAAATAATTTTAACTTACCGCCACGCCTATAATGCAAATTTGTAAAGTGTATAACGATGGTTTATATACTTTACAAATATAGATATATCTTTAACTATCTATCTATCTATCTATCTATCTATCTATCTATCTATCTATCTATCTATATATATATATATATATATATATATATATATATATATATATATGTAGGGGTAGAGTCTACCTTGGCATAAAGTGCTCAATTCTGTGGTAGCAGAGCTAAGTATACATAAGTTAAAGAATTAAAGAGGACGCATCGATTCTCTGTGACTCTAAGTTTCGCGCCTAAACGCTCGTCAGACAGAACTTTTAACTTGTGTATATATATATGTATGTATAAATATATTTATTAATATAATAAGCTCAGTTATGCACGCATTCTGATTGGTTCTCACCTATGATCTATTGGAGGACAGACGTATAGATGACGTCATCTTTGAAACTATTTTCCGTCTATTTTAATTCTTCATTATGTAAAACAAATAGATTCCAAGTTGCCGTGCGTCTCTTCAATAATCATATCATATCATATCAGATCACAGAAGACGTCGAGGTCACGATGACAGGTGTTCCTTAGTCGCCCTCTCTTTCTATTATCCCGAAGATCCCAGTGGAGGTGAATTTTTGGTAACGCACTCTTCTTTGAACTTTTCACTCGTATATTTGTAGTTCCGACAATTTGAGCAAATCATTTTGGTGATGTAAAGGGAAAATCTTGTTACTGATGATTCAGCGGTTTTATAATTATTTTATTTTTGCTATTTTCTTTTCACCTTATAAGAATCTACTAAATAACCTCGGCACCTAGTGACGTTTTCCTCATTTTTCCCCTAAAACAGAAAAATAAAAACGAGACAGGAAATCGCTGCTGAGTTTCTAGTTCTTAACGGCGGGTTATTCCTAATACTATTTCTCAGTGTGAGACGGGGCCGCCAGGGATGAATTCCGCTATTTTGCGAAAATTTAGCTGATTGATAATGACATAGTCTTCCCGTAGGTTTAGCAGTCTACAGTCTTCAGCTTATTTCAAAGCAGTTCCGAATATTTAAGCTTTCGGAAGCGAAAAGATTAAATTTGACTGTTCTGTAAAGGAAATTTCATTCTTAATTTACGTATTAGGTGTAAGGTTAGTTCTGAGGGATAAAAAATGATTTGGTCAATTAGAGTGTACAAGGGGAGGGGAGTCAGATCAAACACAAATTACAAAGGAAGTGGGTCTTATTCATGTTTTTGATCGCCTCTCTATTTTACGAGGGAAAGCAAATCGATTTGAGATTTTAAATCTGATCGACTCCTAGCTGGAATGTTTTCTGAAGCCCCCCCTCCCCTCCCCTCCCTCCTCTATGAAAAGAGTAATGCTGAAGAGAGAGTCAATTTTGTCGCCATGTCACAGTTTTAAAATTGAGTTGAGGACAACGTAATTAAGTGAACTCAAGGTTAGGAACACCTTGTTAATTGCTGGCTGATAGAAATTGTTTACTTTTCATTTACTGTGTAAAAAAGAGTGAATTGAACACCGTCCGATAAAGAAATAAGACACAAATTGCATTGAATATAATCAGGAATGGGCTCCTGATACAAAGAGGTACACTAAGGTATATAGACAGAGAAGTTATAGTAGCTGAAATATTCATTACTGCTAGAGTAACAATTCAACTTTTTTGTAAATGAAGGGCAAATATAACTAGTAACTGACCGAAAATTTAACTAATTTTGTTTACTTTTTCACGTCTATACTTGGCATGAATACATGTATTTTCTCACGTTCTCTCAAAAATAAAAAGATCAGTTTGTTGATTCTGTATTAACACCCTGGTCTTTTGCATGGTCTTCAACTGCATCCAGCTACAGCCAGAGAGAAAGCGAACGGATGCAATTCGCCGCAAAGAAACAAAATCATATTGAACACATAGGTGTATCCGGTAAGGACTTATTTTTCTTCAGGTTTCACCACAGTCAAACTAGTGATGTTTTATCTCCTTCCAAATGCTTTTAAAACTTAATTCGTCATCTGCCTTTCATGGGCTTATTAGCGACTGACCAAGCTAACAGATTCTTAAAAAGCGATTTACATGTTGCGTGTCTTCCTCTTATCCGATCCTGTTGGCTATCAACAAAAATACCATATTAATCACGTGATTTTAGCCCTATGAGGGAGACGCGATGGCGTAATGGTTAGTGCGCTGGACTCCGGGTCAGGAGGTCTGGGTTCGAGACCTGGCTAAGTCATTGTGTCGTGTTCTTGGTTTGTCGTTCGGGATTAAGAAATAATAGTAAAATAATAAAGTAAGATGAGATCGTAGCTCTTCTGAGTCACTATGACTTGAGGTGGCAAAAGTTATCTGTTTGTGCTGTCATAAGTCGCGAAATTGGAAATTAAGAGCGTCCCACCTACCAGAAAAAATTGATCCCTGGAACATTTGCGCCAAAATGTCCGAAAAGTTAATAATACCTGTACAAGACAAAGGGATTTTTGATAATATCTTTGCTTCGACTAGTCAAATGATGATATGAGCCCTTCATGTAACATAATTATAAATGACGTCATAAGCTTGGGCTCCAGGCCTCTGCAGTGATCATGATGCTGACGAATAATACAATGAACTTATGTTTGTAACGTGAAAATTTTACATTTTGGGATTTTAAATTACGCTTTGGCATTAGTTCATGTCTTGTGTGAGCAAATTTTTTTGGTTTGAGTCGATGATGGGCTCCAAAGACACAATGGTGACCTATTGACATGAAAAAGAAACAGAAAAAAAAAACACACTTGAAATATAGACCATTTAAGGCGAACGTCTTTAAACGCTATAGAAAACAAACAAATTGAGTTTGAAAGGTGCACGTATTTCGGCTGGTGAGCATAGTTGCATTTACTGCTCTAGTTCAGTTGAACAATTTATACAACTAGGTTTTTCAATGCTTACTCAATGGGATGTTTATCTCTAACGCTGTCATGGCTCGTCTGACGTGAAGATACAGAGATCGAGAGTTGATTACGGCTTCCAGTTTCAAACTCGTAAAGGCGGGAAACAGGTCTTGAATTCTTGGGTTGGACTCAAAAAGTCTGAAACAAAATCATTCATGATCATCGTTATCAATTCTGAATAATTGAAATTCGATTCACGTTTACTTTAGATAATAAATTTTACTGCCATTTTGCCAGTTATACAAAGAAATCAAGACACTGAGCAATACCCACAACAAGACACAGCTACACTGTTGTGAATCTCCATCCTCATCTTCAACAGAACTATGCTATCACGAAGATAGTGCGCGTGCGTTTGCATTTTGAAGTCACTTTAGCACAAAATAATGACCCGATTGGCAAGAATACAGGCTAAACACGCCACAGCGCTGGTGCTTTTTGTATTTTGGCGTTTGCTCTCTAAAAAGCCCGAGAAAATGTTTTCACTGTCTATTAAATTATTGATTGTTTTCATTTCTCGGGTTCTTCTTTAAAACCGGAACTCGGTTCTTAGCGACTTCTTTAAGTACTGCTCTTATTTAAGAGTGCTTATTTAACTCAGATCGAGATGCCACTATATTTTTCGACTATATCAACTCTAGGCTCCCTAACATCAAGTTCACTATGGAAAAGCAGGTTAATCACAAATTACCCTTTTTAGATGTCCTGATTGACAACCATGAGCCCAGTTCCTCTCTAACTAGGATTTACCGCAAGAAAACTTTCACTGGGTTACTAACTAATTATTTCAGCTTCACCTCGTACTCTTACAAAGTGGGTCTCATTAAGACACTCGTTGATAGGGCTTACAAGATTAATAGCACCTGGTTAGGGTTTCACGAGGACATTAACAAGCTTACTGATATTCTAAAAAAGAATCTTTTCCCTGCTCATTTAATTAATCGAGAAGATTATAAACCGTTTCATCACTGGGACTCAAAACATTCATCATCCCCGGGGTTCCCCTCCTACCACTTCACCTACGTTCTACTTTAAGCTACCTTACATAGGCCACTTTTCTACTAAAGATCCGCCATTTTATGAAGCGCTATTGCAATGACTTGGATATCAAACTGGTTTTCTCTTCCTTCAAAATCGGTAACTTCTTTGGTGTGAAAGACCCTTTCCCTGACGGGCTCCGTTCACGAGTGGTCTATAAGTATGTGCTGGTGTAATGCCTGTTACGTCGGTGAAACCTGCCGGAATTTTTCCACACGTGTTAGAGAGCACTTAGTAAGTGACAGGGCCTCTCACATTTTCAGGCATTTGAAAGATTCTCCGCAATGTCGCGCTCTGTGTTCAGCAGATAACTTCCATGTTTTAGATCACGCCTCCACCGGTTTTCAGCTTAAGATACAAGAGGCTATTCGTATTCAAAGAGAACAACCATCTTTGAATCAACAATTACACCATGTAAATCTAAAACTATCTTTTTAATTCTCACACTTGCATGCTTTACCTCTCTTCTTGTTGTCACTATTCATCTTAATTAGCATTGTTCTACTTACTATATAATTCAACTTTCAACGCTTTGTACAGTAATTAAGTGAAGATGACAGAAGTTTCTGTCGAAACATGTTTTACAAACTCAAAAGTTTTGTCGCTTTCTTTAAATTCTTGACTTGCCTGCTAATATCAAGACCCTTTAAAACACTTACCGTTTAAACACTTTCTTTCCTATGACGCTCTTAATGCGCTGCCAAAAATTCTCTTAGAATGCATTTTTGTTCGTGTGACAGCGGAATATCTCTGATTCTTGAAGTCGATGTTGCCGTAGCAACTGAGACTTCTATTTCGATTCTGTTATTTCGCGACGCAAAACAACCCATGGCATTTACAGTTTGACTGTTAAACATAAAATGAAGATGTGTAGACACTAGCTGAATAGATTAATGAATCCAGCTGCTTTCCTTTAAGAAATCTGTCATACGCTGTGATGATGGGTGATGTATAAAAACTCTGACGTTATCTGTGCAAAACGTTTGTTTTTATATCGACCAACATCTTGACTTGTTGTTCACACTAACTGAAAAGGGAAAAATTCCGAATTTCTGCTTGAAAAAATTGCCGTTTGGTCGAGAAAGAGCAGATATGCCCTGTCTCCACCAAAAGCCTTGATATTAAACTTAGTGATTCGTGCATGAGTGAAAATTGTAAAATTGTTTAACATTTTGACAGGCAAGAACATACTGACAACAACTCAACACTTCAGCTATAAATTTGCATTTTGAATATGGTAATTGTGTCTTTGTACTATCAGTTAAGCTTCTGAGTTGTTCTCCTGACATGTCTCGAGCCTAAAACTGTCGCCGAACAGTCTCCCTCGGCGATTGGGCCTCTAGGCATCTAACCTTTCTCTATAGTGTTGGTACATGGCATTTGATGATGAGGTATTATGAAATGTTGTTACTATTATTAATTTGCAGATGTCGTTGGACTAACTATCAGTGATATTGATGGGAAACCGCTAATTTTCAAGCACAATTAAAGTTCTGTAAGTATAGACAATGTGCAGTTATACGCCATACTTGTGTAATTAAAAGAATTCATTTCGCGAACTTTCCTTCGTTCTTCAAACCACTAATTTTCTAATATTTATGCGGTACTTTCATAATTTATTCATTACAATTTCGTGCAAATGTAAAACGTAGATTAAAGCTGGCTCGATCTGTCCTCATGGGACATCCGGTGAAAACGTGTGAATCATTACATTGGTGCAGAGGAATTATTTTTCTGTAGTTATTCCGACATCCCTCAACGCACAAATCCAGGTGAGTTTACTCATTCTATAAGTCGCGAAGTAGGAAATGAAGAGCGTCCCACCTACTAGAAAAAGTTGATCCGTGGAACATTTGCGCTAAAATGTCCGAAAAATTAATAATACCTGTACAAGACAAAGGGATTTTTGATAATATCTTTGCTTCGACTAGTCAAATGATGATATGAGCCCTTGATGTGACATAATTATAAATGACGTCATAAACTTGGGCTCCAGGCCTCTGCAGTGATCATGATGCTGACGAATAATACAATGAACTTATGTCTGTAACGTGAAAACTTTACATTTTGGTTTGAGTCGATGAAATTATCTGCTGAGAACTTCTATTTGCGATTTCTTGTTCAACCCGACAGAAAACAAAGGAAGGAAGGAAACCGTGGAGAACAATTCTCAAGCTAAATCTTCACGCCACTCAATGATGTTTTACAATGTAAAAGGGAAGAAGAGCTCAAAAGAAACTTAGGAAAGAAAGCAGGCCAGGGACACGCTCCAGAGGTTCAAAAATGGTGACGATCTGAGCGGTAATTATCAACGACAACATAAAACATTAAATCTAAACTACCATAACTTACAACTTAGTTCTTTTTTATTTATTCAGCACAACGCTTAAAAGGAGAATTGAGAGGTATGTATCTTTGCATCATAAAGAGAGTGGCTTTCTATTCTTGAAACCCCCACGGATTACTGCCGCTGGAGTCTGTGCAAGGTCAGTCCAACTAACCTGAGGTCGGTATATACTCATTGCACACCTCATGAGAAAATGATGGTACAGGGAGGGAAAACCAGGGCGTTGGCTAAGTACATCGATTTCAATTCAGTTATTTTTAGATTGAAGCGGGAAGCATTATGGTTTCCTAATTTAGTTTCTTTATTGCCAAAGTCTAAGATTAAAAGAGCCAATCTCCTCGCTGTTTGCCAATACATCAATTGTATTCACTGGCCACTGCGGCTCACTGAGAGAGGCTGTATGTTTTTCCACACGAATGCGATGCGTGACATGTGCAAGTAAAAAGGAAAACATGACAACCGTTCAAGACTGAAAACTATGAATAACAGTGTCCCATTATTTTCTGTTGACGTCTCTAATGCACGCAAATCTAATAAAAGGACTGTTAAAGGGCTGTGAAAGAGATTGGATAAGTTGTTGGTAGGATAAGATCGTAGCTATTCTGAGTCACTATGACTTGAGGTGGCAAAAGTCATCTGTTTGTGCTTGTGTCATTACTTTAATAGAAGAGATTCTTCCATAGTTGAAAGGTTGAAAATATATCGATGAAAAGCAAAACAATAGTTTTCTGAATGCAAAATCCTTCGTACGCTTTAATCTTTAGTTCAGTATATATGTCCTATATTTGTACGGGTACTTCAAGGAATGGCGTCAAAATCCACGGTGGTCGCTCTCCTTCATCCTGGCCCCGCTCCTCCCCCTCAGTGGCCTGCAGGCGGAAGTGACCGGTAAAGTTGAGACGAATGTCCTTGATAATCAGCTGCAAACAGGATAAGTGGCGATGCCCACTCTTGTAGGTGCGGTAAAGGACAGCCGCAGTGGTGTCGTTGATGTTACACTCGAGGAAGGTGAACAGTAACAAAAACCATGTCCAGGGAAGGTGAAGAAATTGGTAAACACAAGATCGCTAAGGTGTTTCGCGATCGTAGTAGCCAGACGAGGTTGCGTTCACAATCTATCTCTATCTCTCTCTCTATCTCTTCACATTTCCAATTCCAAGTAAGTGGAAAACGAGCGCAAATGTTTTAAGCTAATTTTACAAAGCTATTGTTCATTATAACTGAGCTACACTGACAGTCTCCTTCATAGGAGAAAGCAATTTAAAACTTTAGCATGGAGGTTACGCATACTCTTTTCTAGGAACTAGGGAAGGAGCGCCAAGGAAGACTTTTTCGTTGATTGATGTATGTCTTCACTAAACATTTTTTGTGACTCATGTCATATTAATTAATGTTCACCTCTCCTTTTCAGATTTTCGTTATCCACGCATATACACCCGTCAAAGGATTCTTTACAAAACGATGTAATCTAGTAGAGTATCTCTATCTAATCCGAAGAGCTAATGATAATTCTATCACTTCAAGAGACTTTAACCCTTTAACTCCCAAGATCTGATTGTTAATTCTCCTCTCTCGCTGCTACACATTTCCTTTTAAATTGGTTACGAGAATTTGGTGTTAGATCATAATAATGACTTCTACCTGATAAGTTTGGGTATTCTCATTACCTGTTTGCAAAATACTGTATAGTTATAATAGGGAGAAGTTACATGTTAATCACTTCTGGAAGTTAAAGGGTTTAAAGTTATTTAATTAAGGCAAACACAAGGTAACTGTTAGATAATCCTTACGTAGTACATGTGATGTTATTCGTATGTTATGCATGTAATGTTTCACTATCTTCGATTGCTGAAAGGTGAATTAGCGCATTGAAATCAAAATTGATTTCCTTCAGGCTCTGCTCACTGAACTACAAGTCTGCTGTCAGGTGACTAACGTGGACGCTATTTTAGTCCCCTAAATTTCTCATTTTCCAATATATACGTCAGCAACTGAAATTAGATTCATGAAACAGGGACGCATTTTGGAACAAAAATCATGGCAATAACTGGTGTCGGTCGCAAAGGTACAACGGACGATTACTGGTCATTCTGATTTTTCGGTCATTGCTAACGTAATTTAATTTTAATTGCGGTCATTAAAGCATCATCCTAGGCAGACCCTTGCAAAAGTTTCATCAAAACTGCAGAAACGTGAAGATATTGGCTTAAACGCACAACATTGGAGTTATATCAAGGTGAAAAAATTAATTTTGATTTCAATCCATGCCAGCCTTTTTAATTTTCTCAAACACACTTGCAAGTGCAATGACGATGTGCAATTTTCGATTGAATGTCGAAAATAATCCGAGATTTGCCTCGCTACGCTCTGTGATTGGTCCAGAAAACTCTCGCTCCTTTCACAACCAATCAGATGCAACGCTAAACCCAATCGTGACTTGTACCCTCGCGCGATTTATGTAGTCAGTCGTTTTTGCATGCATTAATTTTTAGTTTTTCGTGCATATATATAGTCGCGCTAGTCGCAGTTCGCTTTCAAGCAGCTCCTTCATTCTTTTTTTCGTCTTCGGACAGTATTTTTTCGTTAAGCGCAGTTTTGCAGTAACCGTAACAATGTAAGTATTGTCGTTTCAAGTTGGCTCAGTGCAGTTCTTTCCTATCACCCTTACTTAATTAATTGCTGTAATTTTGTATTTATTTATTATTATTATTATTATTATTTTTAAGTTTCAACCCACATCATTCAACGTCAATAAATCGCCTATTTTACCAGTAATGGTGGTGTTGAGAAGTTACGATTGCCGCAGTCACAGTGTGTCAAGAAATATTGCGCTAGAAAGCGAATGGAATGTATGCTCCAAAATTATATCAGTATTAGGGAAAACTGTATTGATCATACTCGATTGTCTGGTGATCACGGAAACCGATCACGAGTCTTACGTACGTAAAAGCTGGTTTAGCTTACGGCGAAGGCACTTTAAAGGTATGTTATTGTATTTGTATCAGTGCAAAGCAGATGCGCCTTTCCTTTTTGCAAAGGATGTCACAATGGTGTGGCTGGCTTCGCTACGTATTTTCACCGCTATCTCTACAGCTGCCCTTCAGAATGTTTCGCAGTTTCCCGGTTACTAGGCAATTTTACATCAGCTCAAGTACGGTCCTTCATTTTGGACTTTAATAATCCTTTTGACCGTCGCCTTGCTTCGATATGTCAAGCTATTTTTTTCAATTCTTTGTCTCCTTGGGGCGTAATTGCTTGCTAGAGAGTTATATTCTCAGAACTTTGGTTGATGTATCTTTAAATTACACCAGGTTGAACTCTTAAAAGCAGAAATATCCCATTTACATTTTGTCTACACCTAAACTGTCATTGTTCGTGTTTTTTATTGCTACCTTTATCAATCTCATGACTGCCCTTTTAGCCCTGAGTGTGGAAATCCGCGAGATGCATAAAACAGATCGAGCTAAGAACTCGATCGATTTGGATACCATAAACGGACTGCTGCAGGTCTTTGGTACAACCACTTTTAGAATTAATTTAATGAGATTCGAGTAACGCTGTCGGCAAGTTTACAGTTAGGTTTTCTGTTTGATGTCATTCGGACCTTTTTAATCTTACTGAGTTTATCCGAATCATTCCCACAACGGATTGAGGTGTCGAGGTTGTAAAAGCCGAACTTCGTTTCCGTTTAACAGACAGGGGTAAGACTTCACCAGGTTGTGTATGATTTTTATAGTTTGAGCCTCTCTGTCATAAATTTACTCTTTCAAGTGTTTTTTATTGTTTTCGGATTTTCTTTGATTTTTGGTGGTGTGTGAAACTCTGCTACAACTACCAAGGATTGCTAACTTTAATTTGAATACTTCGCTGCAGTGAACTGCCGTCCTACGTTAGTTCAAAACTTACCTTAATATGCTGACGAATTCACAAAAGAAAAGAAAGATCATTTAACTAAAAAGAAAATAGAAATAATGAAATTTATCAGTGGACATTCTACGATGTGGCTCTTCTTGTTCACTTACACAAATTGTCAATGAACAGTGCTAGTAAATATAGAATTTAAAAATCTCAACTGGCCGGAGGTAAACCCATTAGCTATAGAAAAAGTGTGGCCGAGGAGTTGAACGCGAGCCGGCGTCCACAAAGCCAGGATCGGACCGGATCAGACCACGGACCGGATTGCGGATCAGATCACGGATCGGATCACGGATCGAATAAGTAAATTTTGAAAAATAAAAAAATCAAATCGTTTATCAAATAACAATACTTCAAAACTAAGAGTAGAAAAACTGAAATAGATTACTTGAAATCGATAAGCTCCGCTGGAAGTTTTTTTTGCCACCAAACCACATGCGGTCACTTTCAATTCAAGGACTACATAAATCGCTTTCGTGCACTTCAGTACTCATTTCTATAACAATCTTACTCCTCACGTCGCCTCTTTCGCCCCATGTAAGGTAATCCAGGATAATATTAGATTCTGGATTCCACGCTGTGGATTCCGGATTCCAGGTGCTGGATTCCGGATTCTACTTGTGCACATTCCGGATTCCAAAACACAAAAGATTCCAGATTTTAGTTGCTGGTTTGCTCCTAATTTTTACATTTCGTTTTCTAGGAATGACTTCAATGGCGGATTTCGTAATTGAAGGACATGTTCTGTGAATGCATGTTTGTCTATTCATATTTCCATAACAACATTTGATAATTACAAGAAATATATTACAGCAAATCAAGGGATAAATTTTTCTTCTAGGAATACCTGTTGAGACTGTCTGACTCTTAACTCCAATGTCCATTCATTCCAAATTTTTTCAGCAACTCTGAAGAGGCCTACTATATTTCTTTCATTCAGGTTCCTCGAGGTTCTTCAAGTAATTTAGCGGTATCAAAAGAACTAATAGTTCAAATCATTGCTCATCATTTTTAATTTGTAAATAACTGTTGGACTGAAAAAGATGTTTTAGCACAGCATAACATTGTTCCGACTGGGAAAAGGTGGCCAATTTTTGTAATCCAAAATTGACTTCATGGAGAACTGTCAACAAAACAGCTCGAAAATACTTCCCTATTATCTCAAATTACTTTTTTAACTTTCCTTTTCAACAAAAACCATAGTATTTACGAAAAATACTGAAATATAATTTTAATAACACCCTGTGTATCTCGCAAGTGAATCGCAGACTGTGACTAAGAAAAACTTGTTTTCCTATATGTAATTGGCAATGATGTTTGACACTATGAGATTACACATAAAACGGTGTTCAACCAACTAAACTATACTTAACCCTTAGCAAAATCGCAAAAGATCTGCATTTACACGGTAATTTTCCAAGAATAAAAGATTCTCTTTTCTGTACTTCCTTTTTTCTTTATAAGGTTAGTCAAGTCAAGTCAAGTCACTTACGTCGGCTATGAATTCTACAGAACAATGACTCTAAAGGTTTAAAGTGGCCTACCAATATTTTCCTGTTTGATCCTTAAATCTGGTAATATCTTATTTATTTTATTTGCACCGAGATATGATGCGTTATGAAATCTTATATTTTGTCATTCCGAATGCCAAATATCAAAGAAAGCGGTTTATATTCGAATAACGAAATTTTGACCTAGAAATAGGTAAAATTGGAACTGTTTCCAATTTTTGGACACTGCGTGGCAAAATTTTATGAGGTTCTTTCGAGCTCTCGTTATCTGGCAAAACAAAATCGCGGGGTCACGTTTCTCAAGCTCATGCAGATTAGCCCCACACGGCAAGATGTAATTTGTGTGGACCGTGACTCTGATTTAGAGGTAAGGAATGTGCTGTGTGAACGAAGCAAATGATTACCAGGATCTTCACAAGAAAGCCAAAAAAATTGCCGCAAGCTAAAATCAAACTTTACTAAGAAGGTTTTTGAATCGGGGTAGAAGACTGATTGGTAGTCACTGAGTAGGGAACTTTGGCCATGTCAGTTTTGAAGTCGATTGGGTAATAGGTCATGAATGAATTTTTCAGTCTCGCAAGCTGTAACAGTCGAAATTCTCCGGCGAACAAAGCGCGGTCTGCATGGTCTGTAGTCTGCATTTTAGCATGATCGTGGTTGCATGGATGCGATGCGCGTGAAAGCCGTTAATGCGATTTGAAATGATTTTCAGCGAATGAATTCTGGGTTCATTCTCTAGCGGGATTCTGGATTCCAAAAGCTGGATTCTGGATTCCAATGCCCAGTATTCCGGATTCCACAAGCAAAAATTTCCTGGATTCCGGAATCCGGATTACCTTACATGGGGCGACCTCTTCTATCGCGTGTGCTGAGTGACATCGAATAAAGGAAAAGCAGTGCGTGTCATGGTGTTAAAAAATGGTAAGAATAACTCACTGATGAAATGATACGTACCTCTCGCTTACCTCCTTCTATGGCGGCATTACACAACAATCCTCGACACAGCCTTGAAAGTGACTACATGGGGCTTTGGGGCAAAAAAAAATTCCAGTGGGGCCTGCGCTCCATTATGTTACGCAGACTTTGCTCTGGCGTTATTTTCGTTTTTTATTCTTGTTTTCTGTATTATTATTTTATAAAAGATTTGATGTTTTATTTTCAAGACTCTTCTTTTTTCGATTCTTGATCCAATCCGTGATCCAATCCCATATCCAAACCGTGAAGCGATCGGTGATCCGGTCCGTAACCAGGTCCGTGATCCGATCCGTGATCCGGTCCGGTCCAGATTTTATCGACGCTAAGCTCAAGCAATCGAGAACATATCAGGTAAGGTGCCGGGTTGAGGACTTTAACCCGGAACCCAGCGCCTTAATTACGATCTTAATTGGTTTTTGGCGCTGACTAGCTGGCTAATCAGCCGTAATTTTGGCGAGCGAGTGCTCATTATTTTCTCAACGAAAATCATGGCCACCATCTTTGATTTGAATGGCAGCGGAAGGCTGGCGAGAGAGGAATTTGTACCAAGGGGGCGGTCGACGGTCGAAAATAAGGAGAGGGGTAGGGGTGGGGGAGTGAAGATTCTACGAATTCAAACATAGCCGGTCTTAAAAACGATCGCAAGCTTATAACCTTAGCTCGTACTCAAGCCGGCGACACACCTGGCGATTTTACTTGCCAATCGTGACAAATTTATTCGCCAAATTTAATCCGGCATGTCAGATATCGGCGATTTTATACGCCGATCGCGGCGGTCGGTGAAAATTGCGATCGGACGCACCTGGGGATTTTCGCCGATCGCTGCGATTGGCGTAGAAAATCGCCAGTTGTGTCGCCAACTTTATATGTCACCTGCACGGCAGGCAAGGTGCTGATCGAAGCAAAAAATTTCCAATAATTTACAACAACGCCGTCGTCAGATTCACTGCCTAAATCGTGGTATCGAGATTTTCATCCAAAACGAATCTCTTGTGTTTTAAAAGGACCTTATCAATTCCCGTGAGTTTCTTTGAAAGCTTTCCATATCGGACTGAGGTGGTAAGGTCGTAAAAAGGCTGCTGACATCGCTTCCGTTTTCACAACAGAGGTGCGAAGTTTCACAGGTTTGTGTGAGGTTTTTGTAGACTGTGTAAATATTCTTTTCGTGAGCTTCTCAGTAGTTGTTTTCTCCTCCAAGTTTTTTTTCAACTTACGCTAATTCTCTTTGATTTCTGGCCATGAAGGCGCTGAATCACAACTGCCGAGGATTGAATCTGGCGTTGGGTGAACTGGCGCCTCGAGTTACTTCTAAGCTAAGCTTTTATCTTACTCTCACAGTTGACGAATTCTTCCAAAAGGCACAGGAATACTAAACTGGTATCGATCAAGGAAAAAACGAGTGATTCCTAAGTGTTTTATGGAAATTTCAAGGTATTGCTTTAATTTTGTTTTTAGTGCTGAGCAAAGCACTTTCACTCTATTTTCGAAATTGGAAGTGCTTCGATCAGCGCCAATCACCAAATTAAATATGTATGATTTTTTGTGATTATTGTTGTGGACCTCATTTAAGATAAAGGTGTGATCACAATTTTACCATAATAATAATAATGATAATAATAATAATGATAATGATAATGATAATAATAATTTGTTAAAAAAAAAAGCTACAGGTAATAAAACCGTTATTAAACCGTTGTTATTATCATTATTATTATTGAATTTATTTGTACATGAAGACAGCTACAAGGATTATTTGATATTTAAAAAACAAGCCATTTTTATTATTAGGAGAATTAAAGTTAGCATCAAAGACAAATCAATTTTGTGCACAAAACAATGTAAATATGAAAATTATGATTGCAAAAACAATTTGTTAAAATTATATATACTAATAAACCACAAATGTCTTCACCTGTACCAAATTGAAATTCCTTTCAACATACATCAGCATACATGTACATATTTCACTGTTTTTCCAGCAATAAGTGTAACAGTTGAACTAACACTCACCTATACGAATATGGGTGTCAGCTCAACTGTAGGAAATTGAATTAAAGAAATATATCTTTTATAAGTTTTGACCAGTAATCCCTATTTAAAAATCAGATAAGAGAATTTTTCTTTGGTGTTGTAAAATTTGTTTCTTATGAGAAAGGATTTGCCATAAACTCTCCCCTCTTGCGAAGACATGGCGGTCTTATGATTAGTGAGGTGGACTCATGGTCAAGAGGTCTGCATTTGTAGCCTGGCCTGGCCTGTGCTGGACTCAGGGTAAAGAGGTCTGGGTTCCAGTCAATGTGTTGTGTTCTTGTGCAAAACACTTTACTCTTACAGTGTCTGTCTCCACCCAGGAGTATAAATGGGTAGCAAAAATTAGTTAGGGAAACCTGATAAAATGCTAGGGGGGGTGGAGTAATGGTGGAATGGACCTGCATCCTGTCCAGGGTTGGGTAGTAATACTCCCCGTTGCTTTATGTGAGGAAACCAGGATTAATTAAAGTTCAGGCCCTGGACAGGCTGCTTTTCAAATCCAGATGTGACCAAACTACCTACCACCTCTTAGTTTAAATGATTTAAATTGCTGCTGTTACAAATTATACGAACTTGAAACACACAGATATTGATTTTTGCCCAATTTATTTCAGTCAATTGCATAGGAATGTCTTTAGTAAATCTTGAAATTTATTGTAATGAGAAGTGAATTACTGTTCATTTAAATATTAATGCTTGTTTTCTATAGTATATATATCTTTTGTTCTTTTACTGCTTTAAACTGCTTTAAATATGCTATTCATATTAATTGCTTGTGATTTTGTGTTTATGTTAATCCCTCCCATTCTCAGAGGGGAAAAAATATTTAGTTTACAATTGAGTGATATGTTGAGCTAAATTTGTTACCACTTGCAACCATCTTTTTTTCAGGCCAGATTGACTTAAAACAGTTATTTTTTGAAAGAAGTATCCCCTTACAGTTGCTATGGCTAAAGAAGGAAGTCCAATTAAGGTTCCATCTGAAAATGAAGACTTACCTGACAAAGAAAATGCTCCAGATTTTGACGAGGACACTTTACGAGGTGAGCTAGGTTCAACTTTGGCTTCACTCACTGTTAAAACGTTTTCTATTCCACCAGTTTCAAGAATATAGGCAGATGTGGAGAACAATATTAATACACTCCCTTGCGAACTGAATTCCCAGTTTTCTGGGAATTCCTAGGAATTCCTAGGAATTCTCAAAAATTCCCAATTATGCAAATTAACTCTGATTTAAAAAGCTTGGAATTGCTGGGAATTTCTGGGAAAGGAAGACTCCAGTTTTGTGAGGACTTGGCATTTCTACCTAAAATTTAAGAAGGGTGGAATTCTTAGGAATTTGAGGCAATTTAAATACCCTGAGGTCCACATAAATCCAAAGAAATTCTCAATACCTTGAATGTGAAGGTTTTAAGAAAAGGAGTAATTTCAGAGGCTTAAAACTTTGGCTCAATAAAAGGTATGCTATACAAAACTTACCAAGAGATATACATACATTTATATTTAAAGATCATGAAATTTGTTATTCAAACTAAGTTTTAGTAAATCTCTACATTAATATGGATTTTCTCATGAACCAACAGTCAATTATGTTAAATGGAACCAATTAATCCAATGTCCTCATATCACAGATTTGCTTTCTAACCTCAAAGGACTCTTGGATTCCATGATCATAAAATATTTTTATTGTGATGCAAATTAATGTCTCATGTTCACTGATGTGCCAGAATCATCAACATTCATTAGCTGTTCCTTAGTACACAACTTCCACAATAATTAACAATAATTACATTGTTATCTACACTTAAAGAACTTTGTTAGTTATGAACATAAGTTACTTCCCTAACCTACATTACTGGTTGCCTTTGTTAGAAAACCTTGTGGCCCTGATTATAAATATTTAAGCATGGTAAATACATTAGCCTTAACTTGGCTGTTTCTCGAAGCTCAGTGTTTTCCTACATGCCTTTTTCACGTGAAACGAGGCGATTGAATATACATAAAATACACTAAAAGAACTACAGCAGATGGAAATTTAAAATTTCTTATCTAAAGGCTGTGGATACAAACTTATTAATGACTCTAAAAATATAAAAATCTGAAACGAAATTTTTTTAGTGTTGCTTAGCTTTTCATTTTTCCGGAATCGAAAGTCGAGATTGCAAAATTCAAGTGAAAAGCAAACCGACTGTGATTAATGCCTTAAACAAGTCAAGATACTGTTTTTCGTTATACAACAAGTTACTTATCGCAAATATCATTCTTCTTGATGCCTTTCCCGGTGTCACCGATGCCTTTCCCGATGCCTCTGTTGGTTAATATAGCAGTAAAAATATTGTTCCAGTCAAAGCGTTTGGAAAATTGCTTAACTTTTGAATTACCGAAGTATAACCTGGTAACATTTTGGCTTTACAACACGATTGTTTTTTGCAAGTTACAAAACGTAAATTTAATTTTTCTTAGTGCCTTTCCGAATGCAACCGATGCCTTCCCCGATACCTGCATCGTTTAATATAGCAGTAAAAGATATATGTGCCATCAACACTTTTGAAAAATTGTTTCACATTTTATTGAGCGAAGTATACTGTTCACATTTCGGCTTTACAACACTATTGCTTTCTGAAACTACAACTGATATGTCTCTATATGAAGAATTAAATTTGTTTTCCCGCTGACCACTTGTATTTCGGTCATTTCTTCCTGCCCCTCTCGTCGCCCGTGATGTAGTAACTCCCTTAACACTGCAATCGGCAAGCCAGCGGATTCACTTTGCTAGCCAATGACAAGTCTTAAAAGATCCACGTGATCATGCCCGTGATCGGAAACAAAGAAGACTCCATTTGGCGCTCATCTTTGAATGTACTTTTCATCGGTTGATCGTTTTTCTCAACTGTTTTGCTTAATATAACATTTCTTAAGATAGCTTTTATTGTGGTTCAGTGGAACAGCGTGAGTGTTGTAAAAGAAAAGAAAGTCGTTGGCGCCGTGGAGTTAAAAGAAGGGACAACAGTCAACATATTGACTAGTACAAACAAGGGTCGAGAGGCCATCTGTAAAGCTACGATTTTGAAAGTTTGTGGTGAGTAAAAATTGCGATATTCGTTACGTGATCAAAATCTCATAAAAGAATAGATGTAGCGGGTTGAATTATGCTTACATAACGCTCGGCGCAACTGAAACTAGAATAATTCTGAAAATAGAATCGGTCACTTGCATGCCGCAGTTTCTTAAGCTTATGCTTTACAATAAATAATAATACAATAAATAAATAAACCTATCAGTAAGGTTTCAAGATTCCTCTAGTCACGTTTGGGAACATTCAAGATTCATAATAGGAACTGTTATTAAACAAACCTTATTACATAAAGAAGCCCTCAGTGGTAAAAACAAAATAATGTATTCAACCCTTTTTTAGTAAAATCTATGAAAGAGATGTACTAACTCTAATATAAAAGTCACTCAGTATAAGAGAGATTTCTCAATTTGAGAATCCAATGAATGCCCTTTTCCTCATAGCCATCTTAAAGGCCTGGTCTGAGCTTTAAATATATATATTTAAATATATATATATTTTTCAAATTCAGATGTCATGGAATCCAGATACAAAATGGTCAAGCTTCTTGTAGACAACCTCATTCAAGGCCAACTCATTGTGAGCTCAGGAAAAAAAATACAAACAGCAGCTAAGTTTGCAGTTTAGGATAACTTCATTCTTATTTATTGTTACAGTTACAACAAGATTTTAATCAAAAAATCAATTTTATTTGTCTGTAATTAACCCCTTCACTCCCAAGAGTGCTTGGTTTTCAAATATAATTTAAGATATTATATTTTATGGAAAAGAATCAACAGATTTTATTCACAATTTGTGTCAAACCAAATTTAATGATTGATTAGGACTATTTTATACGAATAGCTGTAATTGAGGATTATCTGTATGAAGTTTTCAAGAAAAGAAAAATAAATCAAATTCCATCCTAATATTACCACACATTGATGTTGATAATTAATCAAAAATATTTTACATGTAAGCCTTAATTAAGCTTCCAAATAAAATTTCATTGAATACTTGAATTTTAGCTGGGCTTTTTTAATTTAAAGTATTTATTTTATATCATTAGCCTCAAATTTTTGCTTAAAATTCCCAGTAATTCTTGAACATTCCTAAAAATTCCCAAAAATTCCCAGAAATTCCTAGGAATTTTTTAGATTTACAGCTTTTCAGGGAAAGTCATTGGTTCTCTGAGTTGGAATTCCGAGTCCTGTTGGCTATAAACTTGGAATTTCTGGGAATTTCTAGGAATTTCTAGGTTTTTAGAACCAGGGTTGTTATGGTTGGGAATTCCCAGTCCGAGTTTACCGTGAAAATTCACCCCTTTATTCCTAGGAATTCCTAGGAAAGAATTCCTAGGAATTCCAAAAGCCATTTCGCAAGGGCTGAGTGCATGACCACTTTAAAGGATATTTGGCCAGTCATGACTATCTTTATCATTACAATATGTTGTTCATTGAGAGGGTCTATGACATATTTGTTATTTTCTTTTCTCAAAGTTCAAAGCAAATACACAAAGTCATAATAACTAAAGACTTTATTTGATCATCATATAACATCCATTTTGTAAGTTTCCATCATAAGTACCATCATCATCATCATCCTCATTATATTATGCAACAATCAATTGAAAGTGTCAACATCCCCCAAGCAACCAATTTCCAGTAGAGTGCAAGTGTTATATCATTGAATATGGAGGTGTTTAACCCTTGACACCTTAACATCAGTATCCATATTCTCCATACTATTCTTTGTATGTTTCTTTTGGTACTGAAAACGAGAATTCATTTGAAGATCAATGCTTCTTAGGTTGGTGATCATTTCCTTTATTCTCATGAGCTTAGTGAATGATTCAGCAGTATTACTGTAAGGAGAAGTGAGATGCTGGTCACTCTTAGGGTTTAAAGGGTTAAGGTAGTGTAGTGGTTGTGAGTGTTCAAGTCTACCCTCCTCACCCCTCTTGTTTGTAGTATATTGGAGCATGTATGTTGTGATGTTGATAATTAAAACAAAGTGTTGGATTCCTTTCAAAGGTGTTGTTTTCTGTTTGTGTTAAATCCGTAAATACACTATAGGTTGTAGTGAACTTTCTCTAACAAATGGCTGAGAAGAAAAAAGTCTACAAGGTCTAGGTTTAAAAGCTTGGTCAATTAGTTGAAACTCAGGTTGCTAATTATTTTGTTTTTTTGAATAAAAATTGTGTGGGGCATTTGAACACATTATTAATTTTGCCTGTGGAATAGAAATTTTAGGAAACCTATCTCCAAAAGTTTAAATGCCCAGGATTTTTGTTCAAATAGAGTGATGCTCAATTCTCATCATTATTATTATCCCTGTTGTCACCTACATTATTAACATCGGCAAAAGTGAACAATAGCTCCCATGTTCGGCTGTCGGTAACCTGTCGGCCAACTGTCGGCCGACAAGATACCGACACATTACCGACAGCCGGCCGACGGTGTTAACCAGACCGTACGTACCAATTTTTGTATTTACCTACTTTCTAACTTGTATTTTTACACTAAAATAGGCTTGTTTGCTCGGTAGCAAAAAGGAAGTTTTTCAATTGCCCTATAATGCATTGCGAAACCATAGTTTACAATACTTCATGTGTGTCTGATTAATCTTTCTTTTCTTGTGACAGGTCGCGATCATCGCCCTTTTTGGCGTATTGTGGCAATTAAAATATTAAAGTATACCTTTTTTTTGGCGTTTCATTAGACTTCATTCGGGAGTGTTTTGCCTTTCTTTTTTAACCATCTGCGTGCTACGTGCACATTCCCGCCAGGATGCTTGCAAGACGGGATCGGCCAAAAACGTGAAAACGCTTTGAAAACTCTGTATAAGAGCAAGTAACTCAAAATGATTCATGAAATCGAACCAATATGGGCATGTTTCGCTAGCCAACGCAAGCAAGTTAGGCAATAGCCATACTAACTATCTCTCTGCAATTAATTTTTCCCGTTTCGACGTAGTTGTTGAAGCGATAGATTAGTAACTGCGATCATTTCAGCACAAGACTTACCGACACATTACCGCCGGGTCACCGACAGGTTACCAACAGACGGCCGACACTTTAGTCTGCAACATTACGAAAACTGTCGGCCGACAGTTGGCCGTCTTGACCGTTCGAATGATTTATTCACCCGTTCGAACGGTTTGCCCGTCCGTTCAAAATTTTTACTCATCCGTTCGAACGGCTGACCAAACCGTTCAAATAATTTATTCACCCGTTCGAACGGTTAGGCAAACCGTTCGAACACTTCAAGGACCGTTCGTTAACCATTCGTCATCTGTGCGTTTTTGCCGTTCAAACGGTTTTCCGTTAGTCTCCGCTTTGCCTTTCACGGTCATATTTTTCTATGAGTAACATTGCTTCTGGTTTTTATGATTGCAAAATTTGGATCTTATTGCCTTATTAACTAGCTATCTAAATGTATTAAAGGCAGTAGACTCTTCTACACTAATAATATGCCGACTCTCCCTGATTGCCAGGGAGTCTCACAGACACAGAATAAGACTCTGGGTCTCCCTTGAACCTTTAAGATAAAAGAGGATTTGGGTCAGTTCCACACAGAAACATAACATTTGAACTCCAGATTTCCACATCTAATGTTATCTTGCCTTTTCTTAATATTAGGGTTCTTATCTTAGTTTTCTTGATTGCACTTAGATTGTTTCAAAGTAGAGATTACACTTTCTTCCAAACAACAACCACAACAGCAACTGAGTCTGATTGGTTGAGCTTTCAACCAAAACATCTCTCATGAATTTACTGAATGGGGTGTGTCCTGTGAAGGGGGGGGGGGGGGGTCTGTACACATCCTCTAAGCTTTTCATGGGATGGGTCAAGTCAGGCAGGTGCAAAAGTGGAAGCTGGCACAAAAGGAAAAATCTGCAGATTTTAAATCTCCAGATCTTGGCAGCTCTGCTCATACACTAATTAACTACAACCACAGACTTTGACACAAATTATTTTTCATTTTTTCTTTGCAGCCGCAGCTGATGTTTACAGGAATGAGGGTAATGAGGCCTTCAAGAAAGGAGATTTCATCAATGCTATTCATTTTTACACCAAAGGAATTAAAATGAACTGCAATGAGGAAGAACTGAAGGCCAAACTACACAACAACAGGGCTATTGCACATTTTAAACTTGGTAAGATGATGAGAGCTTTAATTTGCATTTTTTTTTTCTTTTGAAGCTATTGAGTTGTCATCAGTAGTTTTCTGAGATAGGTGATGATTTTTAATGCATGCTCACAAAAATTTACATCTTATCTTGGCCTCTCAAATATACAAAGAAGTAACCTCTTACCCCAGATATCAGTGAGCATCGCCAGTTTTTCCCAAAATTATTGTAACGGAGTGGTGGTTGGTTTGCTACATGTATGGCTAATCAGAGATATTTATTTTAATAACAGGAAATCACCAGGATTCGCTAAGGGACGCAGAAGCAGCCATTGAGTTAAATCCAACTTTCCTTAAGGCAATTGTTAGAGGTTAGATATGTTAGCTGTGTTATAATAATAATAATAATAGTAATAATAATAATAAAAGAACTCAACACTCTAAGGTTAAACGAGATTAAATAAAATTCAATCTTGTCTCAATTGACTTTTAAATTAAGAGGTCGAGACCACCTTGTTGTACATTTGAATCCAGCTCTTGACTGCTATGCAACTACTTTCCATTAATTATAATGAGCATATTATTTTGAGCTGGAGGAAGAACTCAATGCGGAATGCAAAGCAAAATTTCAGCATGAATATTTTAGTTCCTTACGTTCAATGAGTCACAGGTGTCAGATATATTTAGTCACTATCTAGCTGTTTTAAAAAAGAAGTAAGGATCAGGACTTACCTAACTCTTTAGGTAAGGGATTGTTGGTCCCAATTTAAATGTTCTTAGAAGTTTCAGTTGTCTTAAAAGCTAAATAAATCTAACTGAAACCTGATAGGGCCTGTTTATTCCTTTCCATTTTTCTTCTGGTCTGTAATGATTTTAATGGTTTCAGGTTCTTTTCTCAGAATTGAGCTACAGTAATAATATGCTTCTTTATGTTGTTGCCCAAAGGAGCCACTGCTTGTGTTGAATTGAAGAGATTTGAAGAAGCAATCAATTGGTGTGATAAGGGACTAGCTGTATCCTTTGAAAAAATGTTTCATTTTTAACCGTGTGTGTAACAGAAAAAAACCATAATTTGATGTTTTAAGGGAGAAAATACAAAGAAGGGTTCTAATAATGATGGGAACTTGTCAACTCATACTCAAAGTGGGTGTGATTAAAAAACATGGGAAAAGTTCCCTTGCGAAATGGATTTTGGAATTCCTAGGAATTCCTAGGAATAAAGGTGTGAATTTTCACGGTAAATTCGGACTGGGAATTCCTAGGAATTCCTAGGAATTCCCAACCATAACAACTCTGGTTCTAAAAACCTAGAAATTCCCAGAAATTCACCTTTTGGGCTTTAGATTTCACGTGTAGGCTTCCTCACGTTCTACAGCGATTCGTGGGCACTAATTTCCTGTCGGACGGGGATTTATCTGACAATCTACGCACTAAACACACTGAAAATACCTGATCAGATACATCACTGTACGCAGAACTAGTTCGATTATTCCATGCCACAGCGCTTCCAGTAACATTCTTCGAATCTGCTTCAACGGCAGCGAAATGACAACTTGCTTAATAAACGATCAAATAAATGACAAAAGAAAGATGTCAATTTTGAGCGAAGAGACGCTTCTTGAAAGTGGGAAGTTATCTAAGAAAAATTTCCAAAGCCGAAGTTTGGATACATGTGCTGCGAGCTCGACTCAATGTCCGAACTTTCGGGGTTTGTTTACATCAAACATCACGTGATACTACACGTGAAATCTAAAGCCCAAAAGGTGAATTCCCAGAAATTCCCAGAAATTCCAAGTTTATAGCCAACAAGACTTGGAATTCCAACTCAGAGAACCAATGACTTTCCCTGAAAAGCTGTGAATCTAAAAAATTCCTAGGAATTTTTGGAAATTTTCAGGAAATTTTTAGGAATGTTTGAGAATTACTGGGAATTTTAAGCAAAAATCTGAGGCTAATGATATAAAATAAATACTTTAAATTAAAAAACCCAGCTAAAATTCAAGTATTCAATGAAATTTATTTAGAAGCTTAATTAAGGCTTACATGTAAAATATTTTTGATTAATTATTAACATCAACATGTGGTAATGTTAGGATGGAATTGGATTTATTTTTCTTTTCTAGAAAACTTCATACGGATTAATCCTCAATTACAGCTATTCATATAAAATAGTCCTAATCAATCATTAAATTTGGTTCGAGACAAATTGTGAATAAAATCTGTTGATTCTTTTCCATAAAATACAATATCCTAAATTATATTTGAAAACCAAGCACTCCTGAGAGTGAAGGGGTTAATTACAGATAAATAAAACTGATTTTTTTTTTTAAATCTTGTAACTGTAACAATAAATTAGAGTGAAGTTATCCTAAACTGCAAACTTAGTTGCTGTTTGTATTTTTCCCTGGGCTCACAATCGATCGTACTACAAATGCACGATTTGTGGCCGAAAGTTGTCAAGGAAAGAAAGACTCGAAACTCACTTAAGTTGTGTTCATGGCAAAGGTGAGAAATAACACAAGCCAATCACAGTTTTGAATGCGACTACAAATCGTCTTTTACCCTCATATTTATAAAAGAAGGATACCACATTAGGAAGTATAAGAGATGCATAGATGATCCCAGTCTACCAGTACCTAAATCTACAAAGTTTGACCGTCGCAAGCGTTCAGCAACACGTTCCAACACCGCCATCTCGATTCCTCAGTCAGTCGTTTCCACTGAACTTAAAGCAGTGGTGACAACAGAGTAGAGTGCGTCTTACAAAGGAGAAACATTTGTACAAGAGACAGAAGTAACTATATAAGATTACAGAAGTGCGTTGGAACTCTGGTCCACAAACAGTTATGCACTGTCCGAAGTATAAAACAATTTTGTTGATAGCTGACAGACAGAGAAGAACAACAAGTAAACTTTAGAGCTGTTATTATTGAAGTGTGACTTGCGCTTTTCATTTGTATATAAAGAAGGACTTGTATTTTTCACTAAAAATAAAAAGATGTAATATTTTTTGGGAGATCCAGTGATTGGGACATTTAAGAAATTAAGTTATGAAAGGAAACTTGGTTTGTACTTCTCACTACCAACAAGTCTTGTTGACAAATATTTTCAGATCAGAGTTTCAAATAAAATAAATTGAAGACGTCATTTAAAATGTGTTTTTTCTCAAAGGGAACATTGACTACCTCTGTCTTGTCTGCATGCCAAATGTTTGCAAAGTGTGTGGATGATCCACAAGTATTGGAACTCTTACAGAAATGTTTCGTAAGAATAAAAACAGCAGAACAAATTACAGCAATTAGTCACGAAAACAGAGCAAAATATTGAAAAAAAAACAACAACAATCATGAAAAAAGAAAGATTAATTAGGTGTTGAATTTGTTTGTCTAAGGCATGAAATTTCTACTGAAAATAATGTCAACAAAAAGTCTCTGACAGTGTTTGAGGCAACTGAGCTTGACTGTTCCTAGGTTTTCTAACAAAGGCAACCAGTAATGTAGGTTAGGGAAGTAACTTATGTTCATAACTAACAAAGTTCTTTAAGTTCAGATAACAATGTAATTATTGTGGAAGTTGTGTACCAAGGAACAGCTAAGGAATGTTTCATGATTTTGGCACATCAGTGAACATGAGACATAAATTTGCATCACAATAAAAATATTTTTTGATCATGGAATCCAAGAGTCCTTTGAGGTTAGAGAGCAAATCTGTGATATGAGTACATTGGATTAATTGGCAATTTCCATTTAATATAATTGACTGCTAATTCATGAGAAAATCCATATTAATGAGATTTACTAAAACTTAGTTTGAATAATAAATTTCATGATCTTTCAGTTATAAACATATACATGTATGTATATCTCTTGGTAAGTTTTGTATAGCATACCTTTTATTGAGCTAAATTTTTAAGCCTCTGAAATTACTCCTTTTCTTAAAACCTTCACATTCAAGATATTGATAATTTCTTAGAATTTATGTGGACCTCAAGGTATTTAAATTGCCTAAAATTCAATTCCCAGAAATTCCCAGGAATTCCACCCTTCTTAAATTATAAGTAGTTTGTATAGCTGAGAATTCCTAGGAATTCCTAGGAATTCCAAGTCCTCACAAAACTGGAGTCTTCCTTTCTTATAAATTCCCAGTAATTCCTAGCTTTTTAAATCAGAGCTAATTTGCATAGTTGGGAATTTTTGAGAATACCTAGGAATTCCTAGGAATTCCCAGAAAACTGGGAATTCAGTTTGCAAGGGTCATTTGCATAATTGGGAATTTTTGAGAATTCTTAGGAATTCCCAGAAAACTGGGAATTCAGTTCGCAAGGGTTATTACCTTGCCAATTTGACTTAGTTCTACTATCCATGCCAATAACTGGTACATTAGTTTAGATAACCCTTTAACTCCCAGACCAAATTTGTAATTATCCTTACTGTCAACTATACAATTTTTGTAATGTTAGTTCAGATAATTCAGTATTGGACCGACTAAACTGATATGTTTCTTTACTCTCAACACTTATCTGATTGATATTGTACTGCAATTGTAGGGAAAAATTCTCTCTTGGTCACTCATGGGAGTTAAAGGGTTAAAAGACTAGTATTCACCCAGTTTATACATGGTACGTGGGTAGATCAGATCTCTCTAAAATAAGCCAGAACAAAAAGCTCGATAATGTTTACATATCCTATGCAGATTTTCTTGAATTTAACCTTTTTGACTACTACAAGACCCGAAAACTTTCGTCGTGTTTTCCTATGGACAAATACAACTTTTAAAGGCACGTATTTGTGTTGTAGACTTGTTTCTTCCATTGCTGTAAAACATTCGTCTGATGTTAAAGCTATACTAACTTAAAAATTGAGCAGGTGCTCCCCAGTTTTTGGAAACAAGGGATTAAATCTAGATATTTCGCGTTGAATTTTGAGACTGCACGCAAGAAAAAAATTTTTTGAAGTGTAGATTTACTTCATAACTGACTGAATGTTGATAAAACATCTACCTTTCACACAAGCTCTCCTAATAGGCCATTTTATAGTTGTGTGCTTAGTTGCCAAGCCTTAGATTTGGCGTGAGGCTGAAGGTGAGCTTTTTGTGATAGAGACCAGTATCTAGTGACAATAATAACAAAGTAATTTGTATTTGAAAAGCAGCAATGTTTGTATCATAACAAGGTGACCCTTAGCCATCACTCTTGTTCAGAGGCTTGCCATCCAAGCACGCAACTGTATCAATGGACATTTACATTCCAATATGATCAGGAAAATAATCTTTTCGTTTTGTCCACATTTTTTAGTCCTTAACATAAAAAAGATTGACCAAAACAATAGGATCTTGTTGTCATTAAGACTTCAGTCTATCAGAGAAGTGGGAGATAAGTCCATGGAGGAAAAAGATCCAATTAGTCATGACCGTGGTAGTGCAAGTTCAGGTAATGTCAAGAAAGTCATAGACTTCTATCATTGGGGAGAAGAAGCCATAGAGTACCACAACCTACATCTTAAAATAGCTAAAGAAGTAGGAGACAAGCATGGGGAAGGTAACGCGTATGGCAATCTTGGCAATGCTTGTCACAGTCTGGGTGATTTCAAAAAAGCCATAGAGTACCACAACCTACATCTTAAAATAGCTAAAGAAGTAGGAGACAAGCATGGGGAAGGTAACGCGTATGGCAATCTTGGCAATGCTTGTCACAGTCTGGGTGATTTCAAAAAAGCCATAGAGTACCACAACCTACATCTTAAAATAGCTAAAGAAGTAGGAGACAAGCATGGGGAGGGTAACGCTTATGGCAGTCTTGGCAATGCTTATCACAGTCTGGGTGATTTCAAGAAAGCCATAGAGTATTGCAACCTGCATCTTAAAATAGCTAAAGAGGTAGGAGACAAGCATGGGGAGGGTGAGACTTATAGCAGTCTTGGCAATTCTTATCACAGTCTGAGTGATTTCAAAAAAGCCATAGAGTACCACAACCTACATCTAAAAATAGCTAAAGAAGTAGGAGACAAGCGTTGGGAGGGTGGTGCTTATGGCAATCTTGGAATGGCATATTTTTGTCTGGGTGATTTCAAAAAAGCCAGGAAGTACCACAAACAACATCTTAAATTAGCTAAAGAAGTAGGAGACAAGCATGGGGAGGGTAGTGCTTATGGCAATCTTGGCAATGCTTATCACCGTCTGGGTGATTTCAAAAAAGCCATAGAGTACCTAGACCTACATCTTAAAATAGCTAAAGAAGTAGGAGACAAGCATGGGGAGGGTACGACTTATGGCAATCTTGGCAATGCTTATCATAGTCTGGGTGATTTAAAAAAAGCCATAGAGTACCACAACCTACATCTTAAAACAGCTAAAGAAGTAGGAGACAAGCATGGGGAGGGTAACGCTTATGGCAGTCTTGGCAATGCTTATCGCGGTCTGGGTGATTTCAAAAAAGCCATAGAGTACCACAACCTACATCTTAAAATAGCTAAAGAAGTAGGAGACAAGCATGGGGAGGGTAAAGCTTATGGCCATTTTGGCAATGCTTATCACCGTCTGGGTGATTTCAAAAAAGCCATAGAGTACCACAACCTAGGTCTTAAAATAGCTAAAGAAGTAGGAGACAAGCATGGGCAGAGTAACGCTTATGGCAATCTTGGCAATGCTTATCAGAGTCTGGGTGATTTCAAAAAAGCCATAGAGTACCTAGAGCTACATCTTAAAATAGCTAAAGAAGTAGGAGACAAGCATGGGGAGGGTAACACGTATGGCAATCTTGGCAGTGCTTATCACAGTCTGGGTGATTTCAAAAAAGCCATAGAGTACGACAACCTAGGTCTTAAAATAACTAAAGAAGTAGGAGACAAGCATGGGGAGGGTATGAGTTATGGCAATCTTGGCGATGCTTATCAGAGTCTGGGTGACTTCAAAAAAGCCATAGAGTACCACAACCTACATCTTATAATAGCTAAAGAAGTAGGAGACAAGCATGGGGAGAGTAACGCTTATGGCAGTCTTGGCAATGCCTATCAGAGTCTGAGTGATTTCAAAAAAGCCATAGAGTACCGCAACCTACATCTTAAAATAGCTAAAGAAGTAGGAGACAAGCATGGGGAGGGTAAGACTTATGGCAATCTTGGCAGTGCATATTTTAGTCTGGGAGATTTCAAAAAAGCCATAGAGTACCACAACGTACATCTTAAAATAGCTAAAGAAGTAGGAGACAAGCATGATGAGGGTAAAGCTTATGGCAATCTTGGCAATGATTATCACCGTTTGGGTGATTTCGAAAAAGCCATAGAGTACCACAACCTAGATCTTAAAATAGCTGAAGAAGTAGGAGACAAGCATGGGAAGGGTAAGGCTTATGGCAGTCTTGGCGATGCTTATGGCCGTCTTGGTGATTTCAAAAAAGCCATAGAGTACCACAACCTACATTTTAAAATAGCTAAAGAAGTAGGGGACAAGCATGGGGAGGGTATAGCCTATTGTAATATTGGTTACATGTATCAAACGGAGGGAGATTTCATAAAGGCGAACGAGTCTTACAGCCTAGCGCTTAAAATTGCTAAAGAGATCGAAGACAAATACTTGGAGGCAGGGGCCTACTGTTCATTAGGATTCGTTTCTGAGTTGCAGGGTGGACTGCCAAAAGCCGCGGAACATTACCAAGCTAGCATAAACTTATTCAATTCCTTGAGAGTACTTCTAAAATCTAAAGATAAGTGGCAAGTTAATTTTCGAAATCAGTATCAAAGCGCGTATACGGGTTTGTTGAGAGTTCTCTTAGAACAAGGTAATATAGATGAAGCCTTGTTTGTTGCTGAGAAAGGGCGAGCTCAAGCTCTGTCCGACCTTATGGAATCCAGTTTTTGTGGTGGAACAAGTCAGCACAAGACAAGCGATGAAGATTTAGCAGTCACTGCTAAGTCTTCATCGATTTGGATGAAACGTTTTTTAAAAGTTTTAAAAAACGTTCCATCAAATACCGTCTTTCAGGCAGTGGACAAAGCTGACATCAATCTTTGGGTTGTGTCCGAGGGAAAACAAGTTCAGTTAAGAAAAAGTAAACTCGAAGGTTTTGTTTCAGAGAATGGTGGATCTAGGCAGTCCTTTGAGTCGTTCATGCTCGGTGTCTATACACAACTTGGTGTTTGTTCTAATGTGAGATGCGAGAATCGATCTTTGGATGTTTTGAGGGAGAGCCGTTCAAAAGTGGATGTGAAACCTAAAGATGACAACCCTCAACCTCCTATCCAGCAGAACGAATGCTTGAACACTTTGTACGATACCGTTATGAAGCCGGTGTCTGACCTGCTTCAAGGGGATGAGTTACTCATTATTCCCGATGGACCCCTGTGGATCGCTCCTTACGCTGCACTCAAAGATGGTAATTCTAAATACCTTTGTGAATCTTTCAGAATCCGACTCGCTCCATCATTAACGAGTCTCGGACTCATTGCCGATTGCCCAGATGATTATCACAAAAGGAATGGTGCGTTACTTGTAGGAGATCCGTGGGTATCTGAGGTTACTAACAGCGAGGGAGAGAAAATCCTCGAGCAGCTTCCGTGTGCTTAAGAAGAAGTAGAAATGATCGGAAAAATTCTGAATATCGCGCCAATCACTGGCAGACAGGCCACGAAACGTGAGGTGCTGAAAAGACTCAGTTCCGTTTCCTTAGTTCACTTTGCGGCACACGGATGTGTAGAAACTGGCGAAATTGCTCTCACACCTGACCCAGACCGAACATCTACTGTGCCTACCGAGAAGGAGGATTACATTTTAACGATTCGAGATGTGTTAAATGGTCAACTTCGCGCTAAACTAGTTGTACTTAGTTGCTGCCACAGCGGTCGAGGCGAGATCAAGGCTGAAGGTGTGGTTGGCATTGCACGCGCTTTTATGGGGGCTGGTGCTCGGTCTGTTGTGGTGTCCCTGTGGGCGATTGATGACAAGGTTACTCTTGAGTTCATGAAATGCTTTTATCGACACCTTGCCGAAAGTAAACCTGCAAGCGAGTCACTGAACCTGGCCATGAGAAGCCTTAGAGAATCAGACCAGTTCCGCGACATCAAACACTGGGCTCCCTTTTTGCTGATTGGAGATGACGTTACTTTTGACTTCATAGCAAAGGAAAGAGAAAATTTGAATACAAAATCAAATAAATGAAAACTTGTTTTTTCTCATCTCAAAAAGAATGACGCATGAACTTAGAGGCGTTAAATGTTTCTCTATTTTGGCAATTTTGACTATTTTTCATAACTTTCTACTTTTTGTTGAATGGAACTTGAGATGTGTAGCTTTACCATGGTGAAGAAATAAAATCAGACTATTTTATTGTATTTTGATCAGTGGAATTGTCTTTTTTTGTTACCTTTAAAATTTAAACGCTTGCGAACAGAACGAAATGTAACAAGGCCTACAGTAGTTGAAGGTGATTGCGAGGTGTTCGTTTTCGTTAATATGACACTCAGCTCTATTCCTGTACCACAATCAGTTGTATGGAAAACAATTTAAAGACTTTTTCTTTTACATAACCAGGAGCTTGTTCACCGGGTTTTAATTTCGTTTATACTCTAAGCTTTTAATAAGCAAAGAAACAGTTCGTCATTTGCAAAAGTTGGCGAAATTTGTAATTCCAAAAGTTTGATTTCTAAATTTGCAGCAATATGCTGATAAAACTTGGATGGTTTCTCTATATCATAAATTACTTTGTTAAAATTTGAGATTGTCTTCACAGGAAAATTTGCGTAATATTTTTTTCAATCCATCTCAATGAATCTAATTCTATCAGTGCCAAGATTGCCATTCTAAGCTTAATTTGAAGAAGTAAACATCACAGATAATTGAATTTACTGACCATATGTAAGAGACATAAGACCTACTTTCAGGGGTGTAGCCAGCCTCTAGTCCCGTAGGCCCGGCCTACAATTGTTTTCCGCCCGCTTGACTTTCATAATACGACTTTTGCAAATGTTGAAACGAAAATTGAACTTTATGAGGGAACAGGCCCATAGCAAGTCAAAAAGCTGGCTAAAACCCTGTTTGTAATCAAATGAGTTTGGTCAATTTTATTCCGTTTTATCAAACACTTATCTTTTCGTTTTAAAGAACTACGACAGAGAGGTTAAAAATTGTGCATGTAATCGAAATAAGGAAACAGCAAAGCAGAGTTCACTGTAACGGTAGTTTCCACAGTTGTGACTTTACTGTATGTTCTATGGAATTTGTTGTTTCTTGTAGGAAAATATTTATGCCAATTAAGTAAAGATGGGAATTTTTTTGGTGAAAAGGTTCACGACAAATGTAAATGTAGTCCGAAGTTGAAAAGGTTCAGGGCTTCAGGATAAAACTTTCAATTTTTGAAAATTCCCTGTTTAATTTGCTTTCATTTCTTTAGATTTACCTTAGTTTAATTTGAAGATGTCTGATAATATCTTTCTTAGATTTAAGAATTTATACCTAGGTATTCATTATACGCTTTTTAATTAGAACCCGTTAGGTGGTCAAAAATTAAGATATACTGTATCACGGCTGTTTTAGAAGAAAGTTTTGTTAAATGAATCTTAATTTTGCAGATTTTCGTAATTACTATTGATATATTAGTTAACCTCGCACATGGTTGAACATGATGTAACGTAGGATTTTAAAAACAAGGTCGAACAGTTTCACTAATTATGTTTTGTGTAATGTCATTGTATTTCGAGTGAAGTATTTTGATGTTATTTTTATTTACAGTTAAAAATAATTGTTCACTTACTTTAGTTTAATTAACTCATGAACTCCCAAGTTCTGAAGACAAATTCTCCCAACTGACAAGAATGTGTTTGTTTGTAGCTTCATTCCGAGAATCTGATGTAACATTACGTTTCTAGCAAAAAATTTTCTTCCAGTCTAGATTTTCTCTAATTCTTATTGACACCATGTTTGTTGGTGTATTAATTCAAATTATGATCAGTCTTGGGAGTAAATGGGTTCATTTTAGTGTCTCCGTGTTGCGTGTATTTTACTTAAAGCCTTGGACAATCTAATGCAGTTTCTGTTGTACTTAATTTTATACTTCTTTGTGTAAGAGAAATATACAGTGTATAAAATACGAAAACTGTGTTGATTTTTATTGTCTGTCTCCATATTCTAAGGATTCTTGTAAGATGCAGAGAGAACGGATCCTGTGAGGACTTCAATGCTTGTTTCGACACGCGCGCGCCAATTTTGTAATCTGTGCAGCTGACAATGTACTAACATTCCATGTTTCAAGCCCCCACCCACTTATTGTATTGGATTGTATGTCTTTCACTGTCTATTGTTCTCCATATAGCCTCACAGTTTTGGAAGCTGATGGACATGTTCATACTGTTACATGTCTGCGCCCTTTTTTACCTTTTTCCACACACAGGTTTTTATACCTTTTCATATTTGCGCGTCCCTTTTTTCTCCTTCCTTTTGTTCCTTCCTTATTTTTTTCATCATACTTTTCCTTTATTCCCATCCTTACGCGCACTTCTTTCATCGCCTCCAACTTTATTCTTCTGCGCGCTTCATGAGACGCAACTATCTCCTTGTCTATTTCAGTTTTCATTCGTCTTAATCCTCACGCAACGTCATGCTTCTAATATCTCATAAACCTCCCTACTCCCCCAGAGTAGTTGTTATCATGCTCATTTTGTCCACGTCAGGATGGTGTCCCCTTATCGTCATCCCTAGTAAAATCTCAGTTTTCCTCTCGACTAATTCCCAGTCAACAGGGTCTCTCGGTATTAAGTCTTACGTGCTAGTGTTTTCTCTCCTCAGTCCTTTCATCATAGTAGCAGTTATAAAGCGAAAGAGCTCCCTCCAAGTCTCGGCGCCATACTCAGCGAATTTTGTTGGGAACGAGTCCTTCAATATCCAAATCAAGGCTTCTTCTATCATCTGATTGGGTATGGGTCAAACTCTCGCCCAGGGTCCACCTACACTGCGAATCCAAAATGGCGGCAGGCCAATCCATAGACTCCACTGAGTCGCTAACCGCCGTCTCGGATGTAGACGCAGAGAAGACCCTTGAAAAGAGTTTTGACAAATCAATAATCAAGAAAGGATAAGTTACTATAGTACTTAGAGAGATAGTCGATAACAACTTGAGAGATTCATTATGAGCCATCGATTATTCGACTCCATCGTAGAATAAACTCCTCGAATACGAACGCCCATATGCCCCTCTCCCCCCTCCCTTCAATACCAATATAGATCCCTCTCCTGCAACCTTTATCAATATACAGCACAATACAACGTCATACCCTTAGTAACACTGTAAATCCGTGAAATGCAATAACTTCACAGCGCTTCACAGCAATATGTACCCCTAAATAGCCATATGCTTCCCTCGGCCGAATTTTACATCACCATACAGCGCTATATGAATAATTTATCCAATTTGGCAATGAGTACGGGTATTTGTCTGCGGACATTGTCTGTTCCAAGATGCGAAAACCGAGACCTTTGAGGGACAGATAATGTCCAAGGACAAATACCTGTTCATATTTTCGCGCAAAATAGAGACAGTTGTGTTTTTTATCCTTGAAATATTTTGCAACGCACGTGAAAAATATTTATGAACAGCTTACTGAATTGAATGACTAAAAGGGGTAATGAAAAACGTTAGCCCTTCGTCCTTTTCGATTGCAAAGGGCTAACCCTCGAAACGTGAGCTTTCAATTTACGTAATTAACTTCAGATGATAATACTAACTTATTCTGAATTGAATTAAGTTTGAAAAAAAGATTTATAGTGGTGGACGTAAGGTTTGGAAATTTGGGAATATCGCTTGGGTTATATTTTCGGATATCACCCAGTTTCAGCAGGGGGATATTCAGTCACTTGCTGCGTTTAGACCAATCGCGCACGGGCAAAAACAGTTGGTGGATCATGAACAGCGATATGTACCCCTAGATAGCTCTATACTTCCCTCTTCTGCAGTTTACATTACTATAAAGCGCTATACAACAATATGTACCTCTAAGTAGCCTTGATCGGCATAATAGAATACATACATCGAAATCTTCCAGCCTCACGTGTCATGTTTTATCTCTTTTTCCAAAGTTCATTAAATACTCGATGAAAACCTCTGCGGCGTTTAAAGAAAACACAGTATTTTCCAGTGCAGTCATGACTCGTCTGACGTGAAGATACAGAGATCGAGAGTTGATTACGGCTTCAAGTTTCAAATTCTTAAAGGCGGGAAATATGTCTCGAATTGTTGGGTTGGACTCAAAAAGTCTGACACAAAATCATTCATGAACATCGTTATCAATTCTGAATAATTGAAATTCGATTCACATTTACTTTAGATAATAAATTTTACTCCCATTTTGTCAGTTATACACAGAAATCAAGAGACTGAGTAATACCCACAACAAGACACGCACACACACGCACATATCTCAGTTATAAAAATAAAAAGATACATGACAGGGTTGACTCAAGAGTACAATTGGTATGGAGGCTCCGGGTAATAGGCACCTGCCAATACATTAATTATATTCACCGGCGATCTCGGCGGGGAAAGCTAGAGGACGGATGTTTTTCGAAACAAATGCGATGCGTGACTCGAAACTATGAATAATACTGTCCCATTATTTTGTGCTGACATCTCTAGTGCACGCAAATCTAATAAAAGGACTGTTAAAGGGCTGTGAAAGGAACTGGTCAAATTCAGACTCAAATATTCACTCTGCGTTCCGTTGCTGTTGTCAGCGACATCCGCTTACAACAGCCTTTAATGTACCTAACGAATTTTCTTAATAGCAACATTGAACATCAATGTCATTTGAGAATTTTTTGATAATTCTGAAATATATTAATTCTTAATAAAATATATCAAACCGAAAAATTTTAATAGCTTTTACATCTAAAATTGTCGAAAGCTGCGACATTCGGATATGAATTACAAGTTCTTTAAGGTTATAATTCAGGTCGACAAGTAGTTTTTCTTTTTCTTTTAGGTAGAGGTTCAACTTCTGCCTCAAAGAAAAATTATTTCTCATCTGCGGACCTGAATTCTCAACACTCAATAAACGTAATGAACTCGTATGCTCATGCTCCCACAGAAACAAAGCGTTACTGCGTAGCAATTGAACAAATAATTTTAACTTACCGCCACGCTTATAATGCAAATTTGTAAAGTGTATAAC